TTTCGCACTCAGCAGGCTCCGGAAAGCTCCCTCCCTCCCGAAATAAGATGGGGCAGGAAAGGGGGGTCGCCCGCCCGCCCCCCGGATCGTTCCCTGCTCTCCTTGCGGTGGTGTTTGGAGGGTGTGCAGAAGGGGCTCTTCGGGTGACAGACGGCTCCTCCCGCACTTCGCCCCACCGCCCTTTTCTTAAAGTCCAGCTGCCTTCGCTCAGCTAGCTGGCCTTGGCCGGAGCCACCGAGCTCGCCTCACCGAACTGGCTAACTGGGCGCCTGCAAGGAAGAAGGAGCAGCCGAGCTGCCGAATTGGAACCTCCCCGCTCAGAGGCAGTCTATCGCTGAGGTCCACCACGAGCGGGGCTATCTTTATTCCGGCAGGGGAGTTTCGGAGCCCAGCGTGCAGCCTTGAAGCCCCCTCCCCCCTCAACCCAACGCCGAAGCTCGGCGGGAAGGACCGTCGGCTTCGCTCTGCCTTCCACCTTCCAAGCAGCAGCGCCCGAAAACTTCCGAGGCCGCCCGCTCCCGCCTCGCTCACGACCCCCGCCGAGCTGCAGCGAGGCGGAGCTGCCCGGCCTCTGTCGCCGCGCTGCCTGGCAGCCGAGAAGCGAGAAGAGCCGCCAGTGGCCCACGCGCCCCAGACCGCCCAGTTCGTCCCGGGCAGAGGCCCGACTCCCCTAGCTGCCCTGCCCTCCCGCCGCGCCCCAAGGAATCTCCCTCGGCTGACCTGCTCCGTCCAGCCGCTCCGTCCGCCGCTGGCAGGCCGAGACAAGGGCCGCCCCGGCCGGCCTCTTCATCACCCCGCCCCGTCCTGATGGGGCCTGGCCGGGGGCGTCCCGAGAGCGGCGGGTCCAGCCCAGGGCGGGACGGAGCGGGATGCGTTTGGGAGCAAGGAGACTTTCCGACCGCAGCCGGCGCCGAGCTAGGCCAAGGGGGCCAGGAGGGCTGGGGAACAGCTGCGGAGTCCCCGTTTCGCCAGAGCTGCACGACAAGCTACGGGCGGGCCGTTATTCTGTCTTCCCCCCCACCCGCAGGGCATCTCTGGACTCTGCGCTTGGGAGCTTCTCAGAGTCATCCCTTGCACCCAACCCGGAAACGCCCCGAAGGCTTCCGAGGGCCCCAGGGAAAGGCTTTGTGCAGAGGTGAGCCAGGGGGGCGCCCGGCTTGTCCTCCTTCCCAGGGCACTGAAGGGCCACCCAGCGCCTGCGGCCCCCCCATCTCTGCCAATCGGGAGAAAGGCGGAAAAGGAACGGGGAGGGGGGGGAGGGCCAGAGCCCACTCTTTGCTGGAACAACCAGCCAGGTGGCTTCTTTGGCAGGACCATAGAACCTGCAGCCATCGGAACCTTCCAACTGTTGGTATCAAAAAGGGGAAATATTATGTTTGGAGATGACATTGGTATGCTTGACTTCTTTTGGTAGAGCCAGGACTGAGCTGGTGCTGCCCTCCTGGCTGTGGCTTTTTAACAGTGGACCACAACGTCCTTCTGGGCAGAGGTGGCAGTGGGGCACAGCTTTTTGATGGTTCTCTTTTCTCTGTGGTTGGTTTCACTCGGGGTGGGGTGGGGGAGGGGAAAGATGGATTTTTGGGATGCCTTGGGGCTGGATACTGTTGCACTTCCTACTTAGCATGAAACTCCTGAGGAGGCCCTTCGTCAGCTACAGGTCATCTAACATCACAGGACACTGAGGTTAGTCAGCTGTTCAGGTCAATCTTGACTGACCAAGAGATGTGGCCTAAATCCTGCCCCTTGCCAGGTGTGGCCTGAATTGGGAGGTGCAGCCTGGGGGATCACTTCCCATCCTTGCCCCTCCAGGTCGGACAGCCTGGCTGGACTCCCTCCTTCCTCTCAAGGAGCAAGAAGGCCTTGAAACAGGTGCAGCCAGGGATCTTCCATTCATGCCTCGATTATTTTGTATGTGGAGTGCTGCAATGTGCTGTTGTGACCTAGGCTTCCTGAGTCATTAAAGCACACCAGTAGCCTCAAAAACCTCTTTTATTTCAACAGCTGTGAATTACGTTCATTCACAACTGAGTCCCAATTAGTTGCAAAAAGTCCTTCGGGAAAAGTCCTTTGGGATAATCATCAACCTTTATCTCCCTTGACACTCTGCCAAAGACCTACTTGGCAAAGCCCCATGGATTCCAGAATCAAACAGAGATGCAGCCTGGGAACAGAATTAACAATATTGCTTTCCTGCAAAGTACCCATGTGCCTTTGCTCTCTTTTAAGCCTTATGGGAGGGGCCAATCATCTCCAGGCCTTACTCCCGAGTCGTCCCTTTTGTTTTAACTGTTCGTACCTTCTGGCAGCTCTGCACATGCGGGCACTAGGAACAGGCTTCTCCTGTTCCTCTGCCTCTCTGCTGTCCGACTCTGGAGGCTCCGGAGTCCACGCATCACTTCCAGATGGCCCTGGCCTCATCTCTGCCTCTGACGAAGAGCCTTCGTCCAGGCCTTCCCCAGACTCCAGGACTGACCCATGTTCCTCCCCAGCCTCCTCACTGTCCGACTCCGCTGCCAGCTCCGCAGGCTGCTGGCGGACCACAACATGTGCTGTATGCGGAGCTGCCCTTGAAAGCTGCAGCTGGTGCAGACAGAATCTGGAGCATGAGCAGTGATGCCCAAATCACAGTCTTCCATGGGAGCTGCACTAGTTGAGACTTGGCTTCTGGGTGCAATTTGAGCTGCTCACCACAAAACGCTTCATAGGCTCGGACCGAGCTATCTGAGAGGGGTTGGAGCTTCATCACCTGAGACCTTCAAGAAAAGATTGGACTGCCATTTGTCAAAAATGGTGTAGGATCTCCTGCTTGAGTGGGGGGTTGGACTAGATGAACTATAAAGTCCCTTCCAACTCTGTTAATCTGTAAAGAGACCCCCGTCTCCCATGATCTGTGCCGATGCTGTGCACCCCAATAAAGGTGGCTAAGCATTATCACTCAGTGGGATCCCAGCCTTCTCAGTTGCTGCACCTGCCCTTTGGAGACCTGGGTCTCCCTCATCTTGCCCACTTCCAAACCTTCTTTTCCCCAGGCTCTGGGTTGAGAGAGGCCTCTTGGAGCTGGTGAATCTTTGCATAGCGCAGGACTTTTACCAGCAGGCTCAGGAAACCATAAATCCTCTCAGGTTAGTCTCTCTGCTAGTGAATCCATAAAAAGATGGAAGAGCAGCAAGACCAAAAGGCTTGCTTGTTCCTCCCTCTTGAAGCAAGGTTGTTGTTTTTTTTTAAGAAAGGCACTGGACTTAATATCTCTGGACAAGCTCGATGAAGCCGTCCGTTAACCTGTACAAGACCCTAGGAAGGTCTCAAGCAGGACAGAGGCATGCCCTCCCCACACTAGGTATCCTACCCTGCTCTCTGGGGGGGGGGAGTCAGTCACTGGCATGTGCTCATTGCTTCTTTCCAAGGGTGCAGGGCATTCCATGCCAGTGCTTTCTCTACAGGCTCCAGCCCGAGTCCTTCTGGGTCAGATGGAGCTGATCTGGTTGGGCAGTGGAAGTCCCCTCTTTCTGAGCAGCCTCTCATTCGCCTCAGCATTTGCAATTTGCCCTTTAGAACCATCCCCCCCCCCGCCCCCAGGGGAGCTTAAAATCAGACAAAGGGTGCAGAAGACTAAACTGTAGGACAAGAAAAGCCACAGCCCTAATTTACAAAAAAACTGGCAGCATGATAAAAATCAACATTATTTTAAAGGCTTGGGAGAACAAAAGTACATTGACCTGGCCCTAAACAGAATAAAATTGACATTGTGTGTGTGTGTGATTTTAGAGGACGGGAATGCCCCGCAGGAGGGCATCCAGACTGAGGTCCCCTATGATGACCTCAGAGGTATTTATTTGATTCCTATAGGGCCCCTTTCAACAAGTGCTCCTTTCAGTCCTGGGCCCCAAGTCCCTGGCATGGGACCAGAAAGGAACTCCTGCCAGGAGGTGCATATGACCGAGTCCTCTCTTCAAAGCGCCCAGGTCCAGTTTTCAAAGGCAGATTCCACTTGCAATGATCTGCAATTCCCAGCTGCAGCACTGCAGTGAATCCACCTGTCCAAGGTGACCCCAGGGCAACCAGTTTCAAGAAGTATCTTCTCCAGCCCTCAGAAGAAGCTGGTGGTGCCCCCCTCCTTCCCCCCAGGAGGCAATGTCTGGAATGGAAATTTCTCTGCTGCAGGGGTTCAGGCTCATACCAAAGAGGAGCCTTGTAAAGGCCCATTGGGGAGTAGCCATTCTTTACGGCTGGGATATTATAACTGTAAGGATGTAGCGATAGTTCCGGTTGATTTGTTTTGGCATGCTGCTGGTTGGTGTTGGTTGGCTTATTCCTGTGGAGATTATTGTGGTATCGGGTGGGGGATGTTTCTTGTTCATAAAGATTGTGGGCCAGATTATTTGTTGTAAATTGCCAGGAGTCTGAAAGAGTGGTGGATTATAACCAGCCAATGACAAGACCTCCTCAGAACCGTTTGGACAAGAGCCATCCTCAGACCCTTGAGTCTGGGGGCCGCCCTCGTGGCGCTTCGGCCCTGTCACTCGGTGGCTTGGCTTCAGAGGTCAACGCAGAGGGCATAAAAAGAGCCTTCCGGAAGCCCTTGGAAGGACACCGATCCCAGGCCAAGGTCCGCGGCTGCTGCTCCAGCCCCGGGTCAGAGACCAGGAGAGCCGAAGCTTCCATCTCCTGCCAGGCCAGGGCCAAGGCGCTTCGGTCGCCCAAGCCAGAGCCTAAGGGATCTCCCGCAAGAGCCTCTTGCCTCGGGGCTACCATTGTTCAGATCGGCGGGCAGGGCAGCCGCCTGCTTCCCGAAAGAGCGCGCCCGGAACCGCAACGCGGGCGAAGCTTCTTCCTTTCAGCGGGACTCACTGGGCGCTCTGCACGTGCTCGGAGCCGCGCCTTTGTTCCGGGGCCCGCGAGCTCGCGCACAGGCCCCTCCGGCGGCCGCCCCTGGCCAGGGGAGGCGGAGCGCGTGACGCGCCCTCGAGGAGCCCGCCCTCTTCCGACGGATCCGGAGTGGCTCCGCTTCGCCATCGTCCGCCGCCGCCGCCGCGCCCAGCTCACGTTCCGAATGGACCCGCCGGCGAAGTCGGGGCCGCTCCTGCTACAGCAGCCACCGGGGTTGCTCCTGGGGGCCAAGGTAGCGACGCGAGGCGGGGCTCTCCGGTCGGGGGGTTCCGAGTTCCTGCGCGCCTTCCTCGTCGCCTCGCCCGCTCCTCTTCCCGTGCAGCCGCCGCCGCCGTTGCCTTCTCTTTCGCTCCCTCCGTGCGGGGGAAGCGCTTCTCCTTCCTGGACGGGCACTCCTCTCAGTTCGGAGACTGGCCCGGGCAGGACTCTTCCGCTGTCGGGGAGGAAGCCGGGTGGGCTCGCACTTCCTGGTTTTGGGACCGCGGGGTAGACGGAGCCAGGCTTCCGCCCTGGTGCAACTTGGCAGAGCTGCGGAATTCGGAAAAGTCGTTGCCCGCAGGAGGAGGCAGGCGCTGGGCACAGTTGTGAGGAAGACCCTCCGGCTGGGTTTGCAACACCTGGGCTGCTCGCCTCCAGTTTTTTTCCGCAGCCCGCCTGTAGTGGTTTCTCGGCCTTTTGCTGACTGGGAGAGGGGGGCAGAAAAAAGCCACCCCTGACTCTTGGGCTGAACCTGCTTCGTGCATTGGGATGCTACCTGTTGAGCTTCCCGCTGAATAGCGCAGATCGGCCTCTTCAAACTTCTGCAGAACCAGGGAGTGTGTGTGTGTTTCTGGCAGGCAGAGGATGGTACAAAAACGTTTTCTCAAAGGCAGTTTTCTATCGCTGGAGCTTTGCCTCTTGCTTGAGGGTTCCTTGAATTTTTCTTCAGCTGTCCTGTGGTACAACTTGTAAAAGTTTGAAAACTGCTGGTGTACACAAGGCATTGCCCTTTATTAAAACAGTGCAGTGTAAGAGACCCCCCCTTTTAAAAAAAGGGCATGAGCTGGCAACACTTAGGGCCCAAAGATCTTCCTGAATGCAGAGGATTAATCTCACACCTGGGGGGGCTGGGGTTTCTGTCTTGCACATGGGAAACCCAGTTCAGGCTCCAGAACGGGAGAAAGCAGCTTTCTGCCTTTCCGGTCCAGAGGTTAATTCTGAAAGGAGCAAGAGGCAGCAGCCAGCTCTGGCGGGGGTGAAGGGGGGTTGCAAAGGCGTGGAGTAGGAAGCAGGGCTGCTGTGGCTGCTTTGCCATTTCTGGTTCTCGTATCCAGATCATCACCCTTTGGCCTTCCTTACCAGGTTGCTGCTCAGTCACTGCCTCCCTTTCTCTTGCCCCAGAGTTGAAGGTGGATTATTGAGCTAGTTAAGTTTTCATCTTTAGTTCTGAACAGGGTTGCACGCTCCTCTTTTATTTTTTTAATCAATTTATATGGCTGCCCATCTAAAGGTAGATCAGGTCAGGGAATCAATTCTGCGGGAAGGGTGCAACTACTGTTATTGAGATCGGCTCTAATATCAGAATCTTGCAAGTCTAATTGTGCTGTTCCTCCTCCTCCTCCTTATAATCCTGTGAATCAGAGGCTGCTTCCAAATGTTAGCTCCTTACTTTGGACTTAAAAATGCTTTCAGCTCCTTTTGCATAGATAACACTTTCTGTGCATATTTCTGTCCAGGTCATTATCCTTACTCTGTACTTCATGCCGCATTGCACCCTTTGTCACCAGAAGGCTTCTGGGTGCAATTCAAGGTGCTGGCTGTCAACTGTGAAGCCCTGCACAAGGGTCCAGCTCTGCAAAGGTGGTTTTTGCCCAACTGATAAGATCTGGCAGAGTGGTCTCTCCTGGTCCTGTCAATCAAGCAGTGCCGTCTGGTGCGAGCTGCCCTTCCCTCTTACAGTACCTGCCCTATGGAACAGCATCAAATGTGCTTAGCCCCCACCTTAGGGCGTGGCCTCTTTTCTCAGACCTTGGGTTACGTGAGCAGAGCGTCCTCTGAAAGTTTAGGTTAAAAATGATGTTTTTTGGCCAGAAGTTTGGGGTTTCTTATTGGTATTTTATATGTTTTCAGTTTTTAGTTTATTTGTTCAGAGCTGGTGCAGAGTTGGGTGGCCTTACAAGTTTAATAAAAGTAAATGACTTTTTGGTAGTTACGACAGAGAAATTAATTAGCGTTGGAAGTGGCAACTAGGACTTCCCGTTGGGTGAATTCATTTCCTGAGAGGCATTTATGTCAATGCCAGAAGGCTGAGGGCCAGGATATGGATTAGGAGCAACCATATTCACATAAAAGAAACCTGTAGGATGGAGAAGATTGTTGATTGATATGCCACTTCTGAATGCAACCTTTTAAGGAAGATCAGGAAAGGAAACCGTGGGGTGTTAAGATGACAAGTAAGCAGGTGCTCTCCAGACTACCTTTAAGTGACTGCATCAGGCCCTTGGACTAATTTTTATTTATTTATTTATTTTTCATATTTGTATACCGCCCTACTCCCGAAGAACTCAGGGCAGTGAACAGCCATAATAAATACAAATACATATAGAAGTTAAAAACTATTAAGAAACAGATTAAGTAATTTAGGCTCAAAGATTAAAAACATCCAAATTTATCTAAAGAGGTTTAAAACCCAATTTAAAAGCCAGTTTAAAAGCCAATTAAAAAGGGAGAGTTAGGCCAGACCAGCTTGTTGGAATAGAAATGTTTTCAGGGCACGGCGGAATATGCGTAAATCTTGGATGTTTCGTAACTCCGGGGGAAGCCCGTTCCAGATGGTAGGTGCCCCCACAGAAAAGGCTCTCCCCCTGGGGGCCGTCAGTCGACATTATTTGGCCGACGGCACCCTGAGGAGTCCCTCTCTGTGGGAGCGAACTGGTCGGTGAGAGGCTATTGGTGGCAGGAGGCGGTCTCGTAAGTACCCTGGTCCTGAGCCATGGAGCGCTCTAAAGATAGTAACCAAAACCTTGAAGCGCACCCGGAAGACCACTGGGAGCCAGTGCAGCTCGCGCAGGAGGGGGGTTACATGAGAGCGCCACATTGCTCCCATTTAGCCATCTCCAGTGCTCTGGGAATGGAAAGGCAGTGGAAAAAAAAAGTTAAAAAGAGGGAAGTAGTTTTATCCCCCAGACAGAAAGATTCTGGGCAATATTGAGTTGTAGCACAAGTTTATTTATTTATTTGTTCAACTTGTATGCCGCCTTTCTCTGAAGACTCAAGGCGGCTATGGTTAATCCCCGAGGTCACAGATTATGTCCCAAGTGTGCCTTTATTTAATCTAATAAATAGTACTGCTATAAGTGATGATCCTCCACCCAATTATGCTAGATACATGGGGCTCCCCTTGGGGTGCACCCGGAGGCTCCAGTTGGTCCAGAATGCAGCCGCGCGGGGGATTATGGGAGCGACGGGGCGCTCCCATGTGACACCTCTCCTGCACAAGCTGCACTGGCTTCTGGTGGTCTTCCGGGTGTGCTTCAAGGTGTTGGTGACTACCTTTAAAGCGCTCCATGGCTTAGGGCCAGGGTATCTACGAGACTGCCTTCTGCCGCCAATAGCCTCCTACCAGCCAGTTCGCTCGCACAGAGAGGGCCTCCTCAGGGTGCCGTTGGCCAGACAATGTTGGCTGGCGACCCCCAGGGGGAGAGCCTTCTCTGTGGCGGCACCTGCCCTCTGGAACGACCTACCCCCAGAGATACGCACGATACCAGACCTCTGGACTTTTTGTTGGGCCCTGAAAACACATCTATTTCATCTAGCCGGGCTGGCTTGATCCCATCCTTTCGGTTTTAATTTGAAATTGGTTTTAACTGGGTTGTTTTAATTTGAGGGCCGAAATTATTTAATGTCTTTTAAACTGCTTTTAAATTTTATATGTTATGTTTTATCTCGGCTGTTCACCGCCCTGAGTCCTGTTGGAGAAGGGCAGTATAAAAATCAAATCAAATAAATAAAAATAAATAAATAGATAGCTTTGGGCATGACCCTGAATGACATCCAGGAGTGTTTACAAAATAGAAGAACTACTGAACTGATTGGAAACTGATCACAGTGGCCACAAACATAAAACATAAGTAAGCCATAATAGCCAATGAACTACAAAATAGTCCTTGTTGATTTAAAAAAAACCTTCGAAGGAGGGGAAGGAAGTGATAAGGGAAGGTTGAGAGGACCTCAGCAACCTCATCATGTCTCAGGGATGGTTCCTTTGCTGTCAAGCTCCTGCCTTGTCTGCAAGCTTTTCTTCTCCTCAGAAGTAGGACCTGGAAATGGGGCAGGTATTAACATTAAATTCTTGCTGTAAAAAGGGGTAGAAGACTTCATGGTCCTGTCCTGACATTGGTGATTTATGAAATTCCCAAGGGTTCAGAATTAGTGGGGGAACATATTGGAGGAGGCCACTTTGAGGACTCCCCAAGGAGGGAACAGGCTTCTGAGCAGTAAATGCAATTGCAGGCAGGAAGGCAGGCAAAAGGTTCCTCATATCACTGGTGGGATCTGAGTTAAAAAGAGAAGCATCCTTGAAACTCTGTAAATGAGAAACTCGTCTGAAAATGGTGTCCTGAGTGTCAGGACAGTTTTTTTCTCCTGCCAACAAATAGTTGCTTTTGCCACCAAAGCTGGTTCTTTGCTGGCCCTCTCTCCAGATTCGAACGAGAACAACTAGAAATGACGCAAGATGATCCTCAGATGCCTTTGGGCCTACTGGGAAAAGCAATCTTGATGGTTGCAATTCTTGGTAGGAGTAGCCAGAGGGTCAGGTCTCCATCCTTTCTTTTCAGCTGTTTGTTACTCTTAAGCATGCCTCGGTTTTAATTGCGTTTTCTCTTTTCATTTTGATCTTTAATCGACTGGTTGAATGCCAATTTATTCTAACCCTTGCTGGATTAATGTGAATTTATGTTTTTTATTGTTTTATTTTGCTGTTGCGGAGCACTTTCACTCTCCACATAGGAGAATTGATCCCACCCTCTATTACCACGAGAAGATCAAATTCCATCTTGGGAGTAATTTGGAAAGATTTTTTCTCTCTTGATCAAAACCTGCAGAATGATCCAAACTGTTTGATTGCCACTGTACTGTAGAGCCAGTGGAAGGGGCAGAAAAGAGCCACTTGAGCAAGCAAGGGCCTAAGTTGTTCGATCCTTGGCCTTTTGGCTTAGATGGGCAAAGAGGCTGGGTAGTCTTGATCATACTGTTCATCCTCTCACTCTAGCAAGAAAACGTGGTTCAGGGCCAGGGAGAGGAACGACAACTCAGTTTGGCTGTGAAATTGCTACCCCACAATGAGTTGCCAATTTTTTTTGGTTAGGGGATTAGACCAGCCATGCAAGAGAAATCCATCTGTGGCTTCTAGATAGGTGGAGGTATCAGCAGTTGGGGAAGAGAGCAGCGGGTCATTTCCTGTATCTTGTTGATCTCTCTGGAATTAGAATTGGGATGCCTTTGTCCAATCCAGCTTCTGGGTCTGCAGATGTTTTTAAGAAACAGCTCCTAATTATTTGAGTGTTTTTTCTCCTCTTCATTGGCCTCTGATTAATTTCTGAATCACATGCTTGAAAAAGGTGAGAATTGTTAATTCTTCCCCTTTTTTTGTTTGCCACTAGCCATCTGGCAGGCGGTCTGATTTAAGATAATTCAATCCCTGCTAGGGAAGGATGAAGCACAGGGACGTAAGGTGGATTGCTGTGAAGAATAATTTTCATTATCTGGTGGATCCTCAGTTTAGTTGACTTTATTGTTAATTGCATCTTTCAGATTTGCTCAGAGTGGGAGTTCAACTGGATAGGCCCAGTTGAGGTGTCTGAAATGTATTATCTGGGATGAGTTTGAGTCTGACTCCCAATGAAGTAGGTAGGGCCTTTCAGATTTTATTAGATTCAGGTCCCTTCTGGGTTTTTAAAGTCACCTGGGAGGCGGCCTCTGCTTGGATCCATAGCGGGTGTCTGCTTCTCTGAGACAGGACATGAGCTGGTCGCTTCAGCTCTAAAGGAAGCCGTGGTGTATGCTCTCCATTTTAGGGAGGTTGCAGAGAAGTTGGTTAAGGAAAAGCCCCAAAGGATCTGGGAGGAAAGGGGTTATCTGGAGCCAGGTTTCAGGCTGGGATAGAGCATGTTTGTTGATGATCTTTGGCAGAGCAGGAATGGGGATGATGTAGCCATCCTTGTGTTCCTGATCTCTAGGCAGCCTTCAAGGCCGTGGATTACAGTATCCTTCTGGAAAAACTGAGGAGGTTAGAAGTGGTCCCATCCATTTGGTACTGGGGGGGGGGGAAGAGGTCAAGTCCACCGCCCCTCATTCGTGGGGGTGCCACAGGACTCCAAACTCCCCTTTTTAATGTATCTACATGACACCATTGGGTGAGGAAATGATACATTTTGACCCCATGATGGCTTTAAGATCCTGTCCCAATGCCTGAATGAGGTAGAACATACTCTGGCTCAATCCTGACGCTACTGAGCGGCAGCAGAAATCTGGACTCCTGGTTCTGGGGATTTTCCATGTTTTATTTTAGATGGGGCTGCATTTCCTCATTCAAGACTGGTGTGCCGTTTGGGGGTTGTCTTAGAGCTCCTGCTTAAGGGGCAGGAAGCTGCAGAGTATCATTAGCATATTGATGATATCTCAACTCTTGGTGACGGATGATCTCACCCAGTGGCTTCATTTTAAACAGGAGAGGAAAGAGTATTTTTAATTTTTTTTTATTTTTATTAAATTTGTATACTGCCCTTCTCCTGCTGGACTCAGGGCGGTGCACAGCCAAAATAAAAAACATTCTAATACAAAATTTAAAATTTGTTAAAAGAATTACACAACTTTGGCCCAAAATTTAAAACATCGCAACTAAAACCCATAGACAATTAAAAATCTAACATCTCAAAAGGGGGGGGGGGTTACGCCAGCCCTGCTTGGTGGAAAAGAAAAGTTTTTAGGGCACAGCGAAAAGCCCGGAGATATGGTATCATGCGTATCTCCGGGGGCAAATCGTTCCAGAGGGCAGGTGCTGCCACAGAGAAGGCCCTCCCCCTGGGGGTCGCCAGCCGACACTGCCTGGCTGACGGCACCCTGAGGAGTCCCTTTCTGTGGGAGCGTACTGGCCGGTGGGAGGCTATCAGCGGCAGAAGGTGGTCCCGCAAATACCCAGGCCCTATGCCATGGAGCGCTTTAAAGGTGGTAACCAACACCTTGAAGCGCACCCGGAAGTCCAACGGAAGCCAATGCAGCTCACGCAGGAGAGGCGTCACATGGGAGCGCCCCCTCGCTCCCATAATCCCCCGCATGGCCACATTCTACACCAGTTGGAGCCTCCGGGTGCTCCTCAAGGGGAGCCCCATGTAGAGAGCATTGCAGTAGTCCAGGCGGGAAGTGACGAGTGCCTGAGTGACTGTGTGTAAGGAATCCCGATCCAGAAAGGGACGCAACTGGCGAATCAGGCGAACCTGATGAAAAGCCCTCCTGGCCACGGCCGTCACATGCTCTTCTAAAGACAGCCATACATCCAGGAGGACGCCCAAGTTGCGAGCTCTCTCTGTGGGGGCCAATAACTCGCCCCCAATAGCCAGCGATGGCACCAGCTGACTATATCAGGACGCTGGAAGCCACAGCCACTCGGTCTTGGAAGGGTTGAGTCGAACCCTGTTACTCCCCATCCAGATCCGCACGGCCTTTAGGCACCGGGACATCACTTCAAGGGCATTGTTGGGATGGCCTGGGGTGGAGATGTACAGCTGAGTATCATCAGCGTACTGATGGAACTCCACCCCAAAGCCATGGATGATCTCACCCAGCGGCTTCACATAAATGTTAAACAGAAGGGGTGAGAGGACCGACCCCTGCAGCACCCCACAAACAAGGCGCCTGGGGGTCGACCTCTGCCCCCCTGCCAACACCGACTGCGTCCAGTCGGAGAGATAGGAGGAGAACCACCGCAGAACGGTGCCCCCCCTCCCAACCCCTCCAACCGGCACAGCATGATACCATGGTCGATGGTATCAAAAGCCGCTGAGAGATCTAACAGGACCAGGATAGAGGAACAACCCCTATCCTGAGCCCTCCAGAGATCATCCACCAATGTGATCAATGCCGTTTCCATGCTGTGCCCAGTCCTGAAGCCGGACTGGAGTGGATCCAGATAGACAGCTTCATCCAGGTACCCAGGAAGCTGTCGCGCCACCACACTCTCAACAACCTTCGCCACGAAGGGAAGGTTGGAGACCGGACGGTAGTTAGCCAAAACAGCCGGATCCAAAGCGGGCTTCTTGAGGAGGAGCCTCACCACCGCCTCTTTCAAGGCAGGTGGCAAGACACCCTCACTCAAGGAAGCGTTGATAATCCCCTGGAGCCAGCCTCGCGTAACCTCCTGGGAGGCCAGCACCAACCAGGAGGGACATGGGTCCAATAAACATGTGGTTGCGTTCAGCCGCCCCAGTATCCTGTCCACGTCCTTGGGAGCAACAGGGTCGAACTCCTCCCAAATGACATTCTCAAGACCGGCCTCCATCATCCCGTCTGTACCTACCCAGTCAGAGACCAAGCCTTCCCGAATCTGAGTAATTTTATCGTGCAGATACTGAACAAAATCCTCAGCGCGACCCTACAAGGGATCCTCCCGCACTCCCAGATGGAGGAGGGAGCGGGTCACCCTAAACAGGGCAGCCGGGCGGTTATCTGACGATGCAATAAGAGCGGAAAAATAGTTAGATTTTGCTGCTTTTATCACCACAAGGCAGGTCTTAATATGAGACCTCACCCGTGTTTCCAGCACTTCATCTCCCTCAGCTCCTCAGAGAACCAAGGAGTCAGGTAAACTTGGCGACGGGTCAGAGGCCGCAAAGGCACGACTTGGTCCAAAGCATCAGCGGCTGCTCTATCCCAGGCGGCCACTAGCTCTTCAGCTGAGTCATGAGTCAGAGCCTCAGGAAATGGCCCAAGCTCCATCTGGAACCTATTAGGATCCATCAGGCGCCTGGGGTAGAACCATCTGGTCTGTTCCGCCTCTCTGCGGCAGGGTGTGGCGGTTAGAAAGTCAAGCCTAAGGAGGGAATGATCCGACCATGACAAGGGCTCAATCGCTACCGCCCCTATCTCAAGATCATTCGTCCACTGCCCAGAGACAAAAATCAAGTCCAGAGTGTGTCCTCCTGTGTGAGTGGGTCCATGAATTAATTGGGTAGCGAGCCCTGTGAGTGGTTGAGGGCTGGCTCTCTAACTCCTTATCAACACCAATTGAGATCGACCTTGGAGAAAGGAGCTGAACTAGTGCCAGGCTGAACTCGCTCCAAAGGATGCCGTGGTCGCTGAAGGCGGCTGAGAGGTCAAGGAGAGCGAGAATAGTTGCAGTGCCCTGTTCCCACTCCCGCCACAGATTGTCCATGAGTGCCACCGAGGCTGTCTCTGTCCCATCATCAGGCCTCACTCCGGACTGAAAGGGATCCAGGAAATCTGTTTCATCCAGGACCCCCTTTTTTCCTTTTTGCTGCCCTCCTTTGCCCCATTCTTGATCTGCTGTCATAGCCTGTCTCTGTTTGCAGCGGTGGAAGAAAAGCTGGTTTGTGCTGTACCCAGCAAGTCCTCATGGAGTTGCCCGTCTGGAGTTCTTTGACTGCAAGGAAGGAGCTGCTCCAGCTGACCGGATCAGTACCAAGAGGCTGGACAAGAAGATTGTGCGGCTGGCAGATTGCGTGAGTGTGGCTCCTGCCCTGGACTGCAGCCCCAAGGAGGGCTTGGCTGCCTTCTGCCTGGAGACCAGCAGCCGCACCTACGTCTTTGCCACCGAGCCACAGGAGGCGGCTGACTGGGTGGCGAAGCTCTGTGAGGCAGCCTTTCTGGTGAGCGGAGGTTGTGAAGGGGGGGAGTAGCTAAAGCGAAGGGGGGGAGTAGCTAAAGCAAAGGTAGAGCTAAGCATTCAGGATGTAGAGCAGTGGTGATATCTGAACCGGTTTACTACCAGTTCGCTGGCCATGAGCAACAAAAGGAGGCATGGGAAGGTAAGTAGAACAGTGCGGGGGAGGGTGATCAGCTGTGGCGCATGTGGGAACCTTTTAAAAAACTTTTAAAAAACTTTTTTTACTATTGGCTCAGGCGAATAGGTAGTAAAAAATGCTTTAAAAAAGTAAAAAAAATGGTTCTGATGATCGTGCGGCAAACTGTGATCATTGAAGCCTTTTTTTTTACTTTTTTAAAGCATTTTTTTACTACCTATTCACCCGAGCCGGTAGTAAAAAAATGCTTTTGAAAGGTAAAAAAAAAGGCTCCAATGATAACAGCTATGCTGTGCTGATCGTCGGAGCTGGTTTTTTTTTACTTTTTAAAAGCATTTTTACTACCTATTCGCTCAAACCGGTAGTAAAAAAATGCCTAAAAAGTAAAAAAAATAAAAATGGCTCCAACAATCAGCTGAGCGACGCTCAATCTTTGGAACTTAAAAAAAAACTTTTTAAAGCATTTTTAACTACCGGTTTCGGAGAACTGGTAGTAAAAAAATGCTAAAAAAGTAAAAAAAAAGTTACAAAGATCCACATCGCTCAGCTGATCGTCGGAACTTTTTTTTTTTACATTTTTTACTACCAGTTCAGCAAACCAGTAGCATTTTTTACTACCGGTTCAGGTGAACCAGCCCTAACCGGTAGCATTTCACCCCTGGTGTAGAGCTACCCACACAGGATGACTTTTGGGATGGGAAAGTGGAAAAAGGGTAAGGCCATCAGAGCCAAAGGGAAGGAGGGAAAAGAAGCTCCTGAGAAGTTGACAGGTAGCTTGGTACATGCAGAGGAAAGTGGGGAGTGGGGCTGAGTGACCGAGCTGCGCCCTATTTGCCCCGTTATGAGAGTCCTCCAGAATTTGGATCATCAAGCAAAATGTTCTGGGTTTGGTCAGACCGAAATTTAGCACTATGTCTAATTCTGGGGACCTACTTTAAAAAGGGTTCAGCCAACCTGGAACGAGTTCCTGGAAAGGAATAAGCTGGATCAGGAGTTCTGGGAGAAGACAGTGAAGAAAGTGCTTCCCCCCTTCGAGCGTCTGGAAGCCCAGAGCTATTAGCTCTCATTCTGGAGTGCTGGGCCCAGAGACTGTTAGGGGGAGCTTCCAGTGGCAAGACTGGCACCATCTGTTCATCTGGAAAGCTCTGGGTTGGGGAGCTTCATTGGATTCATGCAGAGTAGATCGATCGACTTGAGGGCCCCAAAGATCAGGATTTGAACTCTTTGACACCAGAGCAGTTGCCAATCCTGTCAAGACTCTGGGCAACTGAGGAAGAATCGGTTCTTTTTGCTGAAGTGCCAGGTAAGGGCTGCCACTGAGACCTTTTATGCTCCTCATCACAGACTAACCCTGGGAAAATGACCCCATCTGCTACGGAGACCGTTGGAGAACGGGACCTGGAAATGGCCACAAACTCCATTTACTACTCAAGAGAAGAAGGTAGGACTTAATGGCTGAGTGTGGCTGGCATGTAACTTGGATGGTCCAACTGGTCCCCCTTGGAAGCTTTTATTCAGTGGCAGCACTATATGTGGGCTGAGAGGTGGGATTGCTTCTGGTTTTCAAATTGGACCCTGCCTTGGGAGCTACTGAGGCGGGCAGGAAGTACAGGGTGCTCCTGGGTGGCATGGTATGTGCTGTCCCACCCCCCGTTCTGCAAGGGACGGAGTTGCAGTGCCCGGTTGCCTCCCTGCAAGCACAGCCGTCCACTCTGACTCTCCCCTTGGCTGTAGTGAATGAGTTCTGGGTCACTGTGCAGAAGACTGAAGCTGCTGAGCGCTGCAAGCTGCAAGGGAGGTATGTGCTGAAGGCCTCTTGGAACAAGCTCATCCTCAGAGAGGCCCCCTCCAGCCTGCCCCTCTACACATGGCCCTATCGCCTCCTTCGCAGATATGGCAGGGATAAGGTGAGCTTGTCGGGCAGGAAAGGAATTGGGCCCTGGGGTTTTGTCTTGTTCCCTCCCCCCCCCCCCCCCCCGGAAGACCTGGGAAGCAGGGTAAAGTTGGACTCACGAGCCACAGGGGGACAAACTTATCCCCAGCACTTGCTTTGCGAGGGTAGGCTCCTCAGGGGCTGCCCCCCTTGCCCTGGGGAGGCCCTGGCTGACCACAGAGCCCCACGCTTCTCTTCCACAGGTAATGTTCTCCTTCGAAGCTGGCCGGCGCTGTGAATCCGGTCCTGGCAACTTCACCTTTGAGACCAAGCAGGGCAACGAGATCTTCCACATGGTGGAGGCTGCAATCCAAGCTCAGAAGGCCCAGGTAGAAGGGCATCGGCAAAGCAGCAGCTCCCTTGAGATGGAGACCCCTGGCGTCTTCTCCCTCCAGAACGCTGTGGCCAACTCCCTCAGCCTGGAGGGAGAGGGCGCTACTGCTGCTTCGGAGAGACGGCCGCCCAGGTGCACCTTGGCAGCCAGGGCCAGCGTCGCTGGGGAGGGGAAGGAAGCCGCCATGCCCAAAGGGCAAAACCCATGGCCGAGCTCTTCGCTGCGGCCCTCCCTCTCTGGGATGGCTGGCTCTGTGGAGGACACCAACAATGTCTACTCTGAGCCTCTGGATGCGGTGAAGGGCTCGCGGCCAGACTCCCTCTACGCTGACCCCGTTGACAGCCAGCGTCAGGAAGAAGGGCCAGGCCGGGGCTCTAGCCTGGCGGAGGAGCAGCCCAGGCCACGGACTTGCGGGGTCCAGAGCGGCAAGCAGCACATCTATGATGAACCTGAGGGAAGAGCCCTGTGGCCCACCCCCACTTCGGCCGCCATCTACGATGAGGCACGTCTCCCCTGCGAGGCCTGGCGGACTCAGGGCTTGGAGAGCCAAGCTGGCTATGAGTTGCCGTGCCTTCCTGGAACCGGTGATTATGCTGTCCCTGCTTTCCACCAAAAGGCTGGGCTGAAACCCCCCAGGCCCAGCCCTGCTCCCAAGCCTCCCCGGGTGCACAAGAAATCCGCTCAGCCAGAGGCCAGCAAGACCAGAGCAGCCCCCACCCTGGGCCCAGAGGGGGTCTGTAACAGCAACAACAGCAACAACGGCAGCGACCCACTCTACAGCCGTGTGCTCAAGCCGCCCTCGGCCCTTGGCCCTTTGGGACCCGAGCAATCGGTGGACGAAAGCCGGCCAGCCGCTGTGTACGAAGACCTGGGGGAGATCTGAGAAGGGACCCTGAGCTGGGCTGGAGCCAGAGCAGCCTTTCCAGTGGGACCTTCTTCTGCAGGCTGCCTGCTGGGGAGGGGGGCTAGCCATGCATACGCCTTCTTGGAAGAGGCAGGCCGAGACCCCAAGTGACAGCAATCTTGTTGGGCAGCAAAGGCTGCCTCTTCCATGAGGGCCCTAGCCACTGTGTGGGAATGGCCTCCAAAGGGAGGACGGACCCCTGGGGAGCACACAGCCCCCTCCTGACCCCCGGGACATCGCTTCTTTGGGACTGCAGTCTTTGGCAGTAAGCCCAGAAAGCCTGACAAGCCATTTAGGAGGTTGCTGCTTCCTTTGGTTGCTGCAGAATACTGGGGAGAGCCCCTGCTGGCCCACTGCCCCCCCCTCCCCCCAATGTTAGAGGCAGCCTGCATGGTGGGCTGAGGCTTCCGGCTCTGTGCCCAAGGCTGTCCTGCCTCTGCAGGAGGCTGAGAAGGGCTCCTGTGGTAGCAGAAGTCATGCTGGGGCGTTCGTGGGAAGGAGCTGAAGGAGACTCTCACTCGCTCAGGCTGTCACAAGGAGGTTTATTGACGCAGAGCAGAGGATGTGGCTGAGCCAGGCCGGAAGAGGGCTGAACAACAGAAACCAGGAAGTGCCACAAACAGCCCCTCCGCCTCCTTCCCCATGGAGCCCAGGCTGGGGGAAGTGGGGAGAAACAGGCAGGTTGGCCCCAGCTCCTGCCCGAGGCTTGCGGGAGCATCCCACACACACCCCGTCCCCCCATGGAGTCTTCTGGGCGAGGGTGGGGAGGTGCAGGCTGCTGCCAAAGAAACCGCCGTGGGGCTCCGGCTCTTTCGGCAGAGGACGACACCGGCTCTGTGGCTGTGAAGAAGGCAGGGTGTTCCCTCCATGGCCAAGAAGCGTGGGCAAAGGCTGCTACATCTTGGATTCTGGGATCGCCTTTCCTTGGCTCGGAGAAAGGGGGAGGCTGCCGGAGCCAGCAGGTGGGAGGGCCACCTGCAGCGGGGCCACTGTGGCCCTGGCCCTGCTGGGATGCACACGACCCCCCTGCTGTGGGGGAAGAACCACCGTCACTGCTGGGGCAAAAGCTGTGTGTGTGTGTGTCCTGCCCTTCCTGCTGTTGGGATGGCAGGAATCCTGCTTTGTTAATGACAGAGCCCATCCCAAAGGCTGGAAGGTGCCCCGGGTGTTAGGGCAGAGCCCTGGTGCATTTGCCCTTCTAAGCAGCCATGTTGGAGCCCCCCTGCCTCCTAGGCTGGTTCCTTGCTGCCAGGCCCACATTTGTCCCCGCCCTTCCCCCATGTCGTGTGCCCCTTGGTACCTGGCGGGGCCACTGCCTTGGTGCCCAGCGCTGAACCCGGGAGGCAGGCAGGCGGCCCAGGCACCTCTTCAAGGCCTGGTACAAATGACAGGTTGCCTGCAGGGGATCGTAGCTTGCCTCAAACTCCAGGCCACCGAGGATGCCCTGGAGCGGAAGAGGCTACGTCAGTGCCCAGGGGAAGGCAGGGGCGGGGTGGGGTCAGGGTGCCCCTTTCCCTCACAGCCAGGGTTCTCGTCATTTACCTCCATTTTAGCGAGTGCTGCTTCTGGCAGGTCAGCAGGGAGGAGAGGGAAGCTGCAAGGCAGAAGCAGCTCTCGGGCCACTACCGGGCGCAGCAGTAGGGTGCAGGAGTCTGAGGGCAGCAGGACCTGGAAGGTGCCGGCTGAGAGGCCTCCACTGAGATCTGGCCCACTCCAGGTCTCATATTTGGCAAGCAGCAGCCATTTCCGCTTCTGGAAGATGAAACCGATGTGCGTTGTGCCAAAACAGAGTGATGCTCCTGCCTGGTGGGCGTGAGGTGCAACTGACACACAGCCAGCAGTATGGCTGGTCTGCCTGCTGGAGAACCTGAGGAGGTCTCCCCTCTGCCCCAGAAGCTGGGTGGCTTCGGGGATGTTGGCAAGGTGGCCTTTCCACACACACCCCACACCCCACCCCACCCTGCTTAGGACTCACTCGCAGACAGTGGCAGAAGGCTTGGAAACTCTGCTGGTTGGTCTCCAGTTCATCCCAGCTCAGTTGCCAACAGCTTGTGGGCCTTACGACTAGAGGGAGACCAAAAATCATGGATGCACAGACTCCATCAGCTTTTAGTGCCCTGCAACAGGAAAGATTGTCACTGGGGAGGAGGTGACTGCCACCCTCGTCAAGCTGCTGGCTGGGGGTCCAGGGAAAGTTCTAAAGGAGATCTCTGAGAGGAGGCCACTCAGTGGGGACTGAGAACTCCTGCTGACGAGTGAGCCCAAGTAGAGGCAGGCTCTGTGGCCCCTCCTTCCCCCGCCTGTCTCAGTGGGGGCTGAGCCTGGAGGGAGGGGCAGGAGCTGTGCAGACCCCCGCTTCCCTCTCCTGAAGGTTGGGGTGGCTGAGAGGACTGACCCTTGCCTTACAAATATGGCTGGCTAGGTTGAGGGTGGGTTGGAGGAAGCAGAGGTTTATCACAATTTTTTTTTACTCCATCTTCTTTAGGGTGAAGGCTGCTTCCAGAAGGGAGGGAGCAGCCTGTGCAGAGGGTGGGTTTTCTGCTCTTCTAGAAATGGTTAACTGAATGATCCAAAGGGAAAGGAAAGGAGGAGGGGAGGGAGACAGGTGGGCTCCAGGTGGTTCAAATACTGCAGAGCCTCAAATGCTGCAATTGGTACACAGCTTGCATAAATGCTTGGAAGTGGAGGGCAGACTGCCCCCCCCTTCCTGGGCAAAATCCTCAGGCTTGGCTGGAGAACGTGGCTGAGCTGTAAAACCAGAGTCCTTGGCCAGGCCTGCAGGAGGCACCCACTGTGGCAGCCTCCCCTCCAGTTTCCTTCCCTGAAATGGACATCCCTGACTCACCATGCAGGTTAGGTCTCTGGTCCCTTTGCGTAATCTTAGATTTATCTACAGCTGGGATGGGTTCAGCCCTAAAGCGAGGACCAGCCCGTTTGGGGAAGAGGAAGAGGAAGCAGTGCAGGAATGGAACGCCAATTTCAGCAAAAGGGGCTGCTCCAAATTTTTCAAAAGAACTTTTCTGTAATAAACCTTGAGGTTCCTTATTCTTGCATGTCTACTTCATTGCTTCCAGTCCAGCCAGTGGGGAGGGCTTCTTCCAAAGGCCCCTTTCCAGACGGCCCCTTAACATGCTTTCCTCAGGCTTCAACGGGTCTCGGGGGTACATTGGGCTTGCCTTTTGTGCTGCTCCATGGGCTGAGCCTGACTGCACCTGAGCGGTGTATGCAGGGCCCTCACTGGTGGGCCTGGTCTTCCTAATTCCTTCCATAAATATTACTTTGAGAGCTCAGATGTGGGGGCAGCTCTACGTGGCCCATTCTGTCCGTGGTGTCCCCTGTCAAAAGCAGGGCTGTCGGTTCTATAGTGCACCACTGCTTCTGCCAGGAAGGACTGCACATCCATGCTCTCCGTGGGAGGGAGGCAGCACCCTTTTGCCTTGGCAAATGGCATTCTAGGAACTGCCCGGAATACTTTCCAGTGCTGCCACTCAGTATATTTGACACTGGGGCGGAACAGGCAAGAGTTCTGCTACTTTCCCTTTGGGGACACAGTCCCAGAAAGGCCACTAAACCAAACTCTGTCCAGGTGCTGGCTGGCCATTCAGTGTGGGAAGGGAGGATGCATGGAGAGAGCTCTCCCATCTTGGCCTGCTCCCATCCAACTGGTCATTTAGGCATCCCAAGAGATGCCCAAGGTGCCTCACCTTGCTTGTCCAAATGTTGCTCTGAGCAGAGAGATTGTGATGGGCTTTCCTTCATCAGAAAGGGAGGGAATGCCCCATGCGCCTTCTCCACATGCTGCTGCTCTTAGACAGTCCCAGAGGGAAGCGGTGTAGATTGCCTCATTAGAGAGGCAAATGGGAGCTGGCCTGCCTGGGCTGAGGAATTTGCCACATGCTGTTCTTAAATTGTGAACTGCTTTGTTAAGAGAGGCAGACTGAAGCTTGGCTGTCTGGGTGCTGGAAATTACGCCAGGGTGATTTTTCTGCTGACTCGGGACTTGAGGAAGGCGCAGCCATGAGGAGGAAGAGCCCTTCATGAGAGCAGCGTAGCCCCCAGGATGCTGATTCTTGAATAAACTAAAACCATGTGACTGGCATGCCTGCCCGTCTCCCAGCCCAGGGTTAAAAGAAAAGGGTGCTGGATCTGCCATTCCTTGCAGCTCACTTTCCAGAGAAGGAAAACTGTTATTCCACACTTGGAAAAGTAGGAGTTCCCTGGCTGACGCTTTCCTTCCTGACTGCAAAGCCACTTCCGTTCCTTCTGTTTTAGGAGAAGATCCCTTTCCCAAACAAAACTGAATTTCTAATTTATGAAAACAGTAGTATTGCCAAAAACAGCCAGTAGTTTCCCAGCTACTATGCTGTGATTTCTCTGCATTGATGCTACTGTGCTACTGAATGCTCGCTGAAGTGGGAGAGGAGGCCTCTCGAGCACCTTCTCTTAGTGACTGGGGCGGGGGAGGGGGGATGGCATTGCCAGCCTCCTGCACACACCACCTTGACACAAGCCTGGGCTCACTACAGGTCTGCCATGCATCTGTCTAATGATGTGTGAATATGTTTTAGGTTATGAGTTTTGGGATATAAGACAAGTGGTTTCCAGAAAGACTGTGGTCAGTCCTCCGTGAAATTGATACTCTTAACCACCAATCCCTCCCCCCACCCTCAAGCATGTGATGTACAACCCAGGGATCTAGTCTATCACAGACCGTGGAGGGGCAGTGCGCAGAAATGTGCCTGCACCAGATTTCCGCCGGGGGGGGGGGGGGAGGGAGGGCTATTCACAGCTCTAACCGGGCCATCAGCAGCAGTATTATCAAAGCACAGCAGGCTGCCTGTAGGCCAGATCTCTGCTGAATGAAGAGGAAACCCCCATATTAACAGCAGAGCAATTAAATTTGTTTCCAGGCAGGGCTGGGGAAGAGTCATCCTTGTTAGGAAGCAGGTGTGGTGACAGTCACAGTAACCCTCACCCAATCAGGTACCTGAGGACTCTCAGTCTACGTGGGGCCAGGCCAGGTGCCATCCAGAATGGACTGGCAGCATTGTCCATTCCTGCTGTTCCACCCTCATATGCGGCAGGAAGCTGGGCAGGGCTGAGAAATCTTTCCTGGACATCACACTTCAGCCATGCTGTAGAGGCAGGAGAGCAGAGCAAAGAGCCAAAGTGGCACATCACTGAAGCAGGTGTGTGGGTTTTGTCTCTTTGTCCAGCAACCCATTAGCCCAGAGTTTCCTTTGTCCAGCTGATCTGGGGGGGTGTATGTGGAGGGAGGGGGCCTCAGCCTGCTGGCAGAGCACCTGTTGTGCTGCGGGAGATTGCCCCTGCTGCCAGCAGAAGCTGCGGTGGGAGCAGGCAGGACTAGTCTGGTGAAACTGACGCAGCCGGTAGAGCCTCCTTTCCCGTAGGGGTCAACCAGACAGCTTGAGGGATCACCCTTGAATCAGAAAGGACTTTCCTGATCTTGTTCCTCAGATGGCCCAAACCCCATTTCAAACTGCTTAAATTGGTGGCGTGAGCAAATTCCAGAGATGGGAAGAAGTCCTTCCTTTGATCTGTTTTTCCTCTTCAATTTTCAACCTTGCAGAATGATCCCACTCCAGAGAGATGAATTATTTATAAATTAAACACATAATTAAAACGAATTGAAAAAGAACATCTGCCACTGGATAAAGAAGACTTATATTTTTGCATCTTTTCTGTTGTTGTAGTCAGTGCGTTCTTGCCACTTTTTCAAAAATGTAATAAACCTTATTTGGCTAGAAAATTAAAATGAAAGAAAAAAAACGGAGAATATCCCTTTCCCCCACCCGAGGCCTGGAATACGGCAGATGTGACATGAATTTGAGATCTAGGGGAATTTAGATGAAGAGCCTGAACCCTCTACTTTTCACGTAAGGGAAGGTAAAGGAATATCCACATATAAAGCATTCTCTGGGACGTGGCCCTATTTATCCCTGAGCCTCTCCTTCGTGGGACAGCCCATCGGGAGCAAAGAACCCTCGGATGCCCTTACAGATTCTTTTCCTAGCTTCTCTGTAACAAACGTTGCACTGACTCAGAAGTGCACAAGAATATCCTGAGAGCCAGGAACAAGGACACGTTAATGCTCAGTCTCTGGCAAGAAAACACAGTATGTGTATTATCCTGGACAGTACATACAATTTCTTGCTGGTCCCTTCTATGGTTTACTACTTTTGTTTATTGTAATTTATTTGCCAAGAAAACGGCACCAATGTGTCACGGATGCCCCTGTCGGCACCTGAGGGCAAGGGTAGATTACCTGCATTGGTGCTTGGTGCCTCAGAGCGGGTGGTGGTCCTGGCAGGCAGGAGGAGATGAAGGTGCTCTTGATCCGGAGCATGGTCATGCAGCCAGGCTTTGAAAAAGTCCTCTAAGGCCACCACATCGTTCTCCACAGTGTGTAGATCAATCTCTGTGTTCAAGATTGTGGTGCTCTCTGCAAGAGAAGATGAGATTAAATAGGACATCATCAAAAGGGCACAACAAAGAATGCTCTTTCTGCACCAACTCAGAAAGCTCAGACTGCCCAAGGATTTGCTGATACAGCCTCTACAAAGGAATTATTGAGTCTGTCATTTGTACGTCAGTGAATGTCTGGTTTGGCACAGCAAACAAACATGACAGGCACAGATTTCAACCAACAGTTAGGACTGCAGAAAAAACAATTGCAACCAGCCTGCCTTCCATTGAGGACCTGTGTGGGTCTGAAAGAGGGCTGAGAAAATATCTACAGACTCCTCACATCCTGGACATAAACTGTTTTAACTCCTCCCCTCTGGACAGTGCTATAGGACATTGCATGCCAAAACAACTAGACACAAAGGCAATTTTTTCTCTTATGCCATCACTTTGCTGAATACTTAATTCCCACAGCACTATTTTATGCCTAAGGATATTTACCTATGTAGTAGGGCTGTACTGCTATTGTCCTTCTCATCTTCCGTATTATCTTCTATTGGTATCTTATGGTTATATTACCTTGTTGTTTGTACGTACACTTGTTTATATGTACATGTTGGTTGTATGTTTGTATGTACACTGATTTTATTATTTATTTATTGTTTGTATGTATACTGAGAGCTTATGCCCCAGATACGAATTCCTTGTGTGTTCAATCACACTTGGCCAATAAAGTTCTATTCTATTTTCTATTTCTATTTATTTTCTATTTTCTTCTATTTTCAATTATTTTCTATTTCAATTATTTTATATTCTCTATTCTCTTCTGTTATTTTACTCTATTGTATGCTATTTTATTTTATTGTATTGTATCATGTATCTCGTATCGTATCGTATCCTATTGTCAGGTCCTCTGCTGGGACACTGCTATTCCTATGGAGGAGTGGGGAGGAGGCTATTGGGGTTGCATTCTCTGCATGCTTTTGCTGTAATTGCATGGGATTCAGTGAGGGGGGCTATTTTGAAGACAGATGGGCTTCCTCCCAACAGGTTCCAGTCTGACACCAAAGTCGCTGCGTCCTGGGGATGAACTGCTATCAAGCTAACACTTCAGAGTTCTCAAAACACCTATGCAGAATTGTATTGGCTACCGGTGGACTGGTGAAAAGGGGTGGGGTTGGAATTGGGAAGAATAGCTTAATGCTTTGTGCTGGAACTTCAGATTCCGTCTGACTTCTCCGCAATCACTTTCTCTCAGTGAAAGTTTCTTTTGATACCTAATTATTTCAAGAGTCATGCTTTCCTAAGGAGATAGGTGAGGCAGTTTTTTTACATTAGGCAGAATCTGAAGTTCCGGCGCAAAGCATTAAGCTATTCTTCCCAATTCCCTATCCTATCCTATCCTATCCTATCCTATCCTATCCTATCCTATCCTATCCTATCCTTTCCTTTCCTTATCCTTCCTAAAAGCAGAGAAAATTGGGATACAGAGAATATGCACCTAAAAAATGCCCGGGATAGGCAAACACTACTTTGGGGTCCATTAATGGAACCAAGAATCTAGATCAAATTTTACAATAATTAGGACAGCACTGAACAAATGATAATTACAGCTGGTCCTTGAGGTTACAGCTATATTGCAGTGCCCTTGTGGCCAGATGATCAAAACATGGATATATGGCAGCCTGCTTGCATTTACAGCCCATCTCAGCAGCCGCAGGGGAGAAAAGAGGGCAAGTCAGCCAGGGTGGCTGCATGGTGGGCGGCAGCACAGTGAAGAGCAGCCTCTTTCTCAAGTGGTCATCAAGATATTAGAGTTGGTGAGCCTTATGATCATGTGATAAAGATAGATTCAAGTCTAATGAGATGCAAAGGGTCCTTTGGATTCACAGGTGTTTGAAGAGAGCAACAGCCTGGTGCCAAAGATTCTGATTATTCGTATAGATTAATGGGATCAGGGCTAGCAGGGACTAATGAGATCTTGGCGTAATGGTGTTGACACAGCATGAAGCTGGAACAAAAGATTTCAATAGGTGGCAACAATCTGCTGCTATCCAGTTGATGGCAACAATCTGCATCTTAGTCCATTTTTACAGATTCACTCTTTTGAAAATGAAAAAAAAATCTGAATCAACTCCAAAATTAACAGTTGAACAGCTACCTTTATTAGAACAGCTAAAATGCACTAAAAATTGTGGCACGCACACTTCAGGTTCTGCATCAACAGGTTGTTACAAAATGAAAGAAATGGTGGACAAGTGAACAGGGGCTTTCCCCCACTTGCTCTGGCAACGGGAGCAGCCAATTTTAATGCCAGCCTGCTTTTTGTTTTGAGATTTCAAGAATGGATGAAGAACAGCTGATATTGTCATGGGTTCTAGGACTCAGATTCCATTTCCGGAGGAGTTTTGTAGACTGAATGCATTCATCAGAGTTAGGTGTAGCCGATGTCAGGTTTTCCAATTTCTAGGCATAAATGTCAGGCTGCTGTACTCACCCCCACTGCTGCTGGATACTTCTCCGCCCCACTGTGCCCCAGAGAGTTCCTGGATTGCCCGCTGAGAAACCTCGACCACCTGTAGTTGGTGGAGGCTAACCAGGTCAACATCCTGCAATCCAGCATTCAGTTGGTTGGCTATTTTTCTGCTGGGCTGGCTAGTCAGGATTGTAATCTGGAAGAAAAGTCAAATCATAGCAGTTTAGAGGAGGGTTCACCATACTAATCGACAGCACACTCACGCTCCTCATGCTAACTGCTCCAAGCAGAGCCTGGCATGATGGCTGCTCACCAGTCCTTGTCATGCCCAGTGAGCAGCTACAATACCTGTCAGATGCATTGGAGAAAGAGACTAGCTCAAGCCCCTATTTAGTTAGAAATCTCACAAAATCTCCTTGGTCCAAAGTTGCCTTTTATTAAGCTAGCCTACTTCCCAGGGTTGTTTGGGTTTTGATGGCCTTTAAATAATCATGATTCAGCGACACCTCAGATTGTTGATCACCATGGAGGAAATTTTCAGTTATAAGCCCTCCTGGAACAGGAGGCTTTGCTTAATCACTCAGTCTTTGGTGGAATGAATGATTGCAATGCACTTTGTGTGGGGCTGACCTTAAAGAAACTCTTGATCCAAATGCAGCAGTCTGAGCAGTTACAGCCGCTTCTTGCTGGGCCCACCACAGCTGTCGGAGCTGCACTGGTGACCAGTTGGCTTCTGGATACAAGTCAATGCACATTTAAAGCCCTTCATGGTTTAGGCCTACACCATTCTGCACATAATTGTAACGTATTGTAAGATAAGGAATTGTATGCTGCTTGGGTTGGATCTGATTAGAGCAATTTATAAACCTTGTAAATGTAACAATAAATCTCTCCCAAAAGGTGGAGGTGGCCATTACAATTGTTATTTTCTTCTAGAAAAAATCATTGTAGAAATATGCAAAAACATTTCTGAGCATCCATTGGGTGGAACTGTGCAACCAACTCCAAGAACTCCCAGCAAACTTTTATCCAAAATATATACTGGTTGCTATTGCCCAAAGCCTTATACCTGAGTTACCCAACAGGTCACTGTTACCAAAGAACAATAACAGGGTTTGCTCATGACACCCCCATGGGGGATGCTGGTTAGGGTTAGGATCCTGACGATGGCAGAATTTTGTTGATGACGCTTGGGCTATTCTGCCTTGTTTCTGCTTTGGGCCCATCTTCAGATGCGCTGGACCTCTGCCCTTTCGGCTGTGCCCACTTCTTACCTCCACAAAAGAGCTGCTTAGAGAGGCTCCGGTCATGCCTTGACCCGTGTACTGTTTGAACTGCTGCAATCCATCCAGCACCGCTTGAACCACAGCCTCTTCTTTGGGCTGGAACACCCCTTCTTTCGGCAAGGCACCAAGCTCTGCAAAGCAGCTCTGGAGCCGAGCAAAGCCTCCTTTAAGAGCCTGTGGGGAAAATGGGAAAGAAGTACAGATTACTTTCCCATTTCCAGATATCCCGGCGAAGAGGGCACCTCAACCACTACCTGCACGACAGCATCATGGCTGGAACTGAGAAATGTTGCTCAAACGTTACCTTGATACGGTTTACATGAAACTACGCTTGAAATCAGCAGAAAATGTTGCAGAAAGAAGTTACCCATGTGTTTGGGGCTAAATATGTTTGTCTGAAAACTATGTTTTATATCAGAAAAAGTTAAAAGGGGCTAGATGTCATAATGCACCAGAGAAAATGTGACACAGTGGGAAGTAAAAACCATTGCAACATTCCATTAATGGAATGTTGGGCTTTTCACCTTATTAAAGAGGAAGGGACAAAATAAGAAAGGTGGCACTTAAGCATTTACACATCAGGAATGAACTTGTCTCCTTCTTTGTCCAAAGGAGGACGTGAGTAAACAAGGGGAATGCTACAGATATAATAACCCTGATTTTAGCAAAGCTGAATCCCAGCTCCTGGCATGAGGTTCCTGCTGAGATCCAGACGGCTCTCACTCTGCCATTGTTTAGAGCAGTCCTGGGAACTCTTCGCACCTTTGGTGAGACTGCTTGCTTCATTCCATCCAGTCTGGTTGGCTTGCACTCTTATCACCTTTCCTTGGCTTTATTGTAAATTATTTGTCTTACTGTTGTGAGTCATGCAGAGATGTTGGGAATCGGGAGGTACATAAGTTTAAATAATAATACCGTAACTCCAACACATCTGGAGCAGCACTTGAATACCATTGGGATATAGACAAAATCATTATCAGTCAATTGCAAAAGGCAGTTTTACTTGGAGCAGCTTACGTCAAAAGAGACAATAAAAAAGGTAAGAAAGAAAAAAAAGGGCAAGATCATATCCTCGTCGACCCCGAGGCGCCTTGTTTGTGGGGTGCCACAAGGGTCGGTCCTCTCGCCCCTTCTGTTCAACATTTATGTAAAGCCGCTGGGTGAGATCATCCATAGGAGCCTTGATAGTACAGTGGTCTACGCACCCTGTTATTAACACAGCTGCTTACAATTTACTGCTGGTTCGAATCTCTCCAAGGCTCAAGGTTGACTCAGCCTTCCATCCTTTCTAAGGTAGGTGAAATGTGGACCCAGTTTGTGGGGGCAATAAGCTGACTTTGTATAAATATACAAAAGTATGAAGGCTATTGCTTAACGCATTGTAAACCGCCCTGAGTCTCCGGAGAAGGGCGGCATATAAATTAAATTTAAAAAAAAAAATCCGTGGCTTTGGGGTGGAGTTCCATCAGTACGCTGATGACACTCAGCTGTACATCTCCACCCCAGGCCACCCCAACGATGCCCTTGAAGTGATGTCCCGGTGCCTAGAGGCTGTGCGGGCCTGGATGGGGAGAAACAGGCTTCGACTCAACCCTTCCAAGACCGAGTGGCTGTGGCTTCTAGCATCCCGATATAGCCAGCTGGCACCATTGCTGGTTATTGGGGGCGAGTCATTGGCCCCCACGGAGAGAGCTGGCAACTTGGGCGTCCTCCTGGATGCACGGCTGTCTTTAGAAGAGCATATGATGGCCATGGCGAGGGGAGCTTTTTATCAGGTTCGCCTGATAAGCCAGTTGCGTCCCTTTCTGGATCAGGACTGCCTACGCACGGTCACTCAAGCACTCGTCACTTCCTGCCTGGACTACTGCAATGCTCTCTACATGGGGCTCCCCTTGGGGTGTACCTGGAGGCTTCAACTGGTCCAGAATGCGGCTACGTGGGGGATTATGGGAGCGACGGGGTGCTCCCATGTGACACTTTTCCTGCGTGAGCTGCATTGGCTCCCAGTGGTCTTCCGGGTGCGCTCCATGGCTTAGGGCCTGGATATTTACGAGACCGCCTTCTGCCACCAATTGTCTCCCACCGGCCAGTGCGCTTGCACAGAGAGGGCCTCCTCAGGGTGCCGTCGGCCAGACAATGTCAGGGGGAGAGCCTTCTTTGTGGCGGCGCCCGCCCTCTGAACAACTTACCCCCAGAGATACGCACGATACCGGACCTCCGGACTTTTCGTCGGGCCCTTAAAACCCACTTATTTCATCTAGCCGGGCTGGCTTGATCCCATCCTTTGGTTTTAATTTGAAATTAATTTTAACTGAGTTATTTTAAATTGTGGCCGACGTTATTTAATATCTTTTAAACTGTTTTAATTTTTGTATGTTGTGTTTTTACTTTGGCTGTCCACCGCCCTGAGTCCTGCTGGAGAAGGGCGGTATAAAAATCAAATAAATAAATAAACAGCAGACTTTCAAATAAGGGATTAACACCAGACAAACAATCAAGGAGAAAAGAAATGAAGACTGGAGCGGGCAAAGAATGGCATCACACCCAAACATAGCAAGATGGGCGTTGGGTATGAGATTTACCACAACAAAAGGTAGCCACCAATTCCAAGACCTGAGTATTTTAGGCCTTTGGGCTGCCAACCACCATGAATATAGAAACACTAAACTCCATAAATGTAACCCATAAAAGCTCCCAAGCAAGAGAAACCAGATTCCCAAAGGAGCAAAGGTTACATAAGAGCTAGCACTAATGAAAAAATAGAACAGGGATCTTCAGATATTTTACTCTGCTGTAGATGGGCTTATGTGTGTAATGGGAGCACTCACCACAAAGGGCAGCAGGCATTCCTGCTGGTTCTGGACCACGTAGAGGCTGAATGAAGGGATGCGGGGTGAGCCTGTCAAACTGCAGGCTAAGCAGAAGACATTTTCCAAGGCTTCACAGAGTTTGTGGCAGGTGTTGTCCCAATGGGGAGGATGGATGTCTACTACCAGGATTCGCAGAGATTGCCTGGAACGAACAGTGGTGGCGGCAGGACATTTCTCAACAACACTAGGTCTTTGCCTTCCGGGACTCATGGTTTTCTGAACGCAATTGAGATTGCGGCTGTCTGGAAAGTAGAAGTCAAGGGCTGACTCTTTTCACAGTGCACTGTCACTTGTGAAGATAAATATAGAGGATGCCAGAAAGAGAAATGTTGGAGGGGTAGAAGAAGAGCAGCAGGGTGTAAAGACCAGCAGCTCCATATCTGATGCGTGTGGGGCAGCACCCCGCCTGTCGTGAGAGAGGAAACCATGACGTGTGAATGTGGGCATTATATGTGATTCCTACCTTCAGGTTTGTTCTATTCAGTCTATCCAAATCTGTTTATATGGCCACTTCCAGGATTCTTGGCTTGAATAATTAAGGGGAATTCTTGTTGGGAATTTTGGGTGCTAGTCTCAATATATCTGGGGGTTCTTCCATACAAACCTACAATTCCAAAACAATTCTTATATATGCACAAGCTACGTTTAAACACTACATTAAGCCATGGTTTGATCACAATTTTAATTACCTGGGTTCACAAATAATAATATTAAGCCAACCTCAAATCAGAGTGATTTGTGAACCCAAACACATGGGAAGTTAATTCCAAACTGCCAAGAGAACCACCTGATGGTATTTTTTTTTCAAGACCAGGGCAGCCCAACCAGGAGGATTGTCCAGGGAGTCTTTGAGAGGAGATCAACACATCTTGTGCCACATCAGACCCTACAGAAAAGAGTATCTGTAGCTCAGGGCTGAGGTATGGGGGCCTTGATATTCAGAGCTTGGTGCATATGACTCTAACATATCAAAATAGGAGCAAATCCTGCTCCCTTCTAGCCCTGATGATGTGATCTAGTTTGGCAGTGAAATATCTGCCAGAAAACCACCAAGCGTAGAGAGCACCAAGGACCCCTGACATCAGGCCCTTCTCATCCCCTCAGTCAGAGCTAGGGGTGCATTTGGAGGCCGCTCATGGATTCGCCTTCCAAAGATTTAGACTAAGAAGCCCATGTATATATAGGTGGGCTGTGTGGGGGTAGGAAGAGATGCCTTTTACAGACCAAGTCAGGGGCTTTTTCCTCCAGTGCCCAGGCGCTGGTCCTCGGTGGGGCACAGAAGAGGGAAGCCAGGTCAGAGCAACCCATTTGGGGGAGCCCGCCCTCGCACCCCCAGCCCAGTCAGTCCAGAGGGAAAAGCCTGGGGGGAAGGCCCGGGCCTCGGCCTTCTTTCGCCGGGACGAAGGGTGGTCGAGGAACGGGCCTTTGCCAATCGGCGGAGCTGCTGCCGCCGCCGCCCCGCTTTCTCGGGATCGGACCAAACCAAACCGGGCTCCTGAGAAAGGCCCGGCGGGAGAGGCCGGGCCCTCCGCTCCGCCTCCCTTTGTGGGAGCCGAGCCGAGAATCGCGGGTGGGGACGGGCAGGCCTTCTTTCCACCCCCGGGGAGGGCGGCTGTCCAAGCGGCGCCGGCGACCCACCCCCTCCTCCTCCTCTCCTGCGGGGCTGGGCGGAGGGACGCGCTTCCCCCGGGCGGCGCGGAAGTTGCGGGCGAGGAAAGGCCGGCCCGCCTCAAGAGTGGCCGCGACTTCTGCAGCGCACCCCCCCACCCCACCCCCCCGCTGAGCAGCTCCTTTGCCCCCACCCCGCCCTGGCAATCGCCTCCCCACCCCTCCGCCGAGCCTTCTCCCGTTGGAGGCGGGGGAGTGCCAAGGATACCGCTGCGAGCGGCTGCCAGAAAGCGGGGCCCTGTCCCCCTCGCCCGGAGATGACAGGCTCGGAGGGGACCCCCGAAGGCTTCCCTTTAGCTTGCCAGAGGGATTCCTGCGGGAGGGACGGAGGGAGGGCGGGGGGGGGGGGGGGGGCCCCCCGGGGGGGAAGGGGGAGGGCCCCCGGAAGGAAGATAACGCATAGCAGAAGGTTGTGGGGGGAGGGGGGGGGAGGCCGAGACCTCGGAATCCCAGGGAGCCCCGGCTTTTTTGGAGGGGGGCGGCAAGCGCAAAGCCCCGCGTGGTTGCTGGGCAGCAGCTCGTCCAGGAAGATTCCGGTGCCTTCCTGGATCACCAGCTACCCTTGTCGTGAGAGCTGCTAGAAAGGTGAGGCAAAGCCCGGCCGGTTCTGGGCTGCAACAAGGGTCACTCACAAGGCACGTGGCAGTGTGTCAGGAGAAGTCGTCCTTCAGTCCTGGAAGGGAAACGTGTACCAAGGGCTCCTGGGGGTTCAGGCCCCTGTGGGGATGGAAGCGGCCAGAAGGGCTGTCCCGCAGAAGAGCGGGCAGGCTGGTTCAGAGCCCTTCCAGAGGATGGGGGGACAAGGCGGCCCTGAGCTCCAGTTCATTGGGGCTCCGCAGGAGCAGTCAGCTGGGACCCTCTGCCCTGCGGGGGGCGGGGGGGGGGAACCCTTCTCTGCATGAGGCTAGCCAAAGGTAATGCAGCGTTCTTCCCCGGGGGTGGGGGGTGGGGACTTTTGCCAACTACAGTGAATTCTAGCTTTTAGCTTTGAGATGTGGTCCCTCACTAACTGGTTCATCCACAGTATTGGGATGTTTGGGTCATAACTCTGTGGGGGTTGTGGTGGTGGACTAAACTTCCCCTCACCTTCCTGAGGCTCTTCCTCTGAAGTGGGGCTCACCCACACTGACCAACTTCCCTCTTCCTAGGAAGGCCTTGGGGAGAGGAGGAGAGTTGCAGGGTTGCCCTGTGGGTGCTCAGAGATGGGGGGAGGGGGGGCAGCCTCTCCCCACGTGCAAGTGACTCTGGAGCCAGAAGACAGTGGAATTTCCTGGACAGAACTTGATTACAGGTAGTCCTTGACTTATAACCATTCTTTTAGTGAAGTTACAGTGGCACTGAAAAAATTGACTTATGACCGATGTTCACACTTGCCACCATTAGAGCATCCCCATGGTTATATGATCAAAATTCGGGCACTTAGCAACTGGCACCTACTTGTGACAGTTATACTGTCCTGGGGTCATGTGACCACCACTTGTAACCTTCCCGGCTGACTTCCAACAAGCAAAGTCAATAGGGGAAGCCAGATTTGCTTAATGACCACAATTCACTTCAAGCCAGATGATTAACGACCACACGATTCACTTAACTGTGGCATATAAAAGGTTATACAATGGGGTAAAACTCACTCAACAATTGCCTTGCTTAGCAATGGAAAGTTTGGGTCCAATCGTGGTTGTAAATTGAGGATTACAAGATGTATGTCTTGTGCTTTGTTTTGTATAAGACCAAATTTTCTAATTATGCCAGAAGCTTTTTTGAGATCAACTTTAGGATTTTAGTTCTCTACAATTAGATTTCATTTTTTAAAATGTGTATCAAATTGATAAGGTGTTGCCATGTTGTTTCATCCTTTTGCCTCTGGGCATTGTTCCCACCTCAACCCAGCCACATCGGAAGTCCTGAAGCTGGTGCTGCAGCTGCTGCTCCCCATTGGACCCCAGCTTTTCTCCAGGAGTTTCTTGGAGGCCTTCTGATTTGGGAGGGATTACATTGATAGTTTCCTGGTTGTTAATATCCACCTGGTTTTCTTGGCTGAAAACTGAATCCATACGCCAGTTGCGTCCCTTTCTGGATCGAGACTCCCTATGCACGGTCACTCATGCCCTCGTCACCTCTCGCCTGGACTACTGCAATGCTCTCTACATGGGGCTCCCCTTGAGGAGCACTCGGAAACTCCAGCTGGTCCAGAACGCGGCCGTGCAGGTAATTATGGGAGTGATGTGGCGCTCCCATGTGACACCTTGCCTGCGCGAGCTGCACTGGCTTCTGGTGGTCTTCCGGGTGCGCTTCAAGGTATTGGTTCTCACCTTTAAAGCGCTCCATGGCTTAGGGCCCGGTTATTTGCGAGACCACCTTCTGCCACCGATAACCTCCCACCGGCCAATTTGGTCCCACAGAGAGGGCTTCCTTAGGGTGCCGTCGGTCAAGCAATGTCGACTGACGACCCCCAGGAGGAGAGCCTTCTCTGTGGGGGCACCCGCCCTCTGGAACGAGCTAACCCCAGGAATACGACTAATCCCGGACCTCCGGACCTTCCGTCGAGCTTTGAAGACCTATTTCAGCAAGCTGGGCTGGCTTAAAATTTTAATGGGTTATTTTAAGGGTAATGGGTTTTAATGTTTTGGGAAGCCAATTCGATTTAATTCTGTTTTTAAATTATTTAAAATTTTGTACTGTATGTATTTTAATTTTGGCTGTGCACCGCCCTGAGTCCTTCAGGAGAAGGGCGGTATACAAATTTAAATAATAAATAAATAAATAAATATTCTTTTCTAGTAGATCATGTTTAATCTCTACTGTACACTTGTGTATGCCTTCTGGATCATGAAGACTTTAGATCGTCTTGTTTGTTCCCTCTTCTCTGTGTATTGACCTATTTCTTCCTTGTGGTTTGAAGACAGCCACTGTTGTTAATAAAAGCAAGGAAAAGAGGGTTTTGTTGCCTTAAATCAGCTTCCCCTGAAATTGCTGCATTTTGCAAAATGCTAGCTGGCTGAGTGCTGCTTTTGGCACATTCCTTCCAGCACATCTGCACTGAATTTACAACCAGAAATTTTTCTTCCTCTTTATTTTCTCCTTGCTATTGCCTCTTGTCTCTTGCTCTCCATCGTAACTTCCTCTGTAGCGGTCCAGACAGTCAGTGCTTTGCAGAGCCTCATATGTATGCTTGTTATTTCCAAAACCTGTCTCACCTAAAGCAATCAAAGCACGTTGCAGATACATGATTTTATTTGCAAGCCATCAATTATCCACTACCACAGCAAAGCTTTCATGGCCACGAGCAATAGCAGAACACGGTTTGTGTGCTTTCAGCTCCCCCTACATCAAAGGAAAGAAAGGCAATGGCAAGCCAAAGGAAAAAGCAGGCACCGTGGAAAGTACAGCTTGACATCAGAATATTTTGGACGAAGCCATCTGTGGGACATTGTTTATCTCTTCTTCTTACTAGGCTAGCATGCCAGCCTTACTCTTTCTGAGATATGGTCAGTGAATAAAAACAAGTTGGTTTACTGGGCCAGAAATCCCTGACTGAATTTTCTCCCTGATGCCACTCAGGATGACTTTTTTTTTTTTAAAAAAAATTGATTTATATGCCGCCCTTCTCCGGAGACTCGGGGCGGCTTACAATGCGTTAAGCAATAGCCTTCATACTTTTGTATATTTATACAAAGTCAGCTTATTGCCCCCACAAACTGGGTCCTCATTTAACCTACCTTAGAAAGGATGGAAGGCTGAGTCAACCTTGAGCCTTGGCGAGATTCAAACTTACAGTAATTGCAGGCAGCTGGTGTTAATCACAATGCTATAAGTCTGCTGAGCCACCAGGCCCTTTTTTATTGTTGTGAATATTTTCTTAGACTTTTGAGCAGTTCACCATCCATTCCATAGATACCAAATGCAGTTTACATGTATATTGGGGAGGGGAGGCACCTTTACCTACCATAATAGGCCCTGGAGTTATTGAACTGCTTTGCATTCCAGAGATTTTGGCATTAAACTCATAATCCTGTTTGGAAAAGGCTTGAAAAGATGGGATGGTCACCTGGTCACTGAGATTATTGGCTCTGCTTTTGAGTCCATCATGGTTTCTCAAAGTCCTGCTGTTTTCAACATGTTGAAGGACTCGGTGAAGCTGTGGTCAGCTGCCAGGACACCACTCTCATCCATGAAATCTCTGGGACCGAGGCATAAGGGAGACCCCTTGGAAGACTGGGTGGAGCCACCCTTGGGAGGAGAGGGGCTGTGAGCCTCTTTGGCTTGCTCAGGATGGATGTGGGGATTCCAAGCAGACTCAGAAAAATACAGAAATGAGGGAAGCAGAAAAAAAGACAAGTCTTGCCACCATGTCACTCTGAGGAAGAGGCTGGGTCGCATGAAGGCAGCCTCTGGGGTACCCCGTGGCTAGCCAGGTGTACTCTTGGCCTTGTTCCCCAACTACCAGTCCTCCCTCTCTCTCTCTCATCTGCCTCCATGGGGCTCATGGCCCAACCAGTTCGTGGGGGATGAAGAAAGTGTCTGGCGCTTCTACTTGTCTCTGAAGTTCTTGCCAATCAGCCCCCACCGTCACTTATCTCAAAGGTGCTTTTTTTTTTTTCAAGAGGCAACTGGACTTTCTGGTTTTTCTTTGAAGATTTTTCACTTCTCATCCAAGAAGCTTCTTCAGTTTTGACTGGATGGTGGGGAATGGAAGGATTTATACTCCTTGCAGACAGCTGGTCATTTGCATTCTTTTAGAGAGTTGTTGAGGTCATTTGGAGCTTTATCTGTGCACTCAGGTTGTCTGTATCCACCATCCAGTCCGAACTGAAGCAGTTCCTGGATGAGAAGCAAAACATCTTCAAAGAAAAACCAGAAAGTCCAGTTGCCTCCTGAAAAAGGTTCAACCATGACCTGGATAACAGAATCTCCAGACTTCTGTCACTTTAGGAGGCTGTGGCCTTCACACTCCACCTTGTTCTTCCTGCCCTCGGCCATGCTGGGCCATTCTGGACCCTGGCCGGCAAGGCTCCTGCTCTGTTTTCTGCTAGTAAGCGGCTGCTTCCTACATAAGAGGAGGCGGTGACAAGTCTTTGATGGGAATGGGGGATTCTTTCTCTCTCCCACACACGTATTTATGGTATTTCCTTACATACTGCCTCGTCCTGAAATTTGGGGGATTTACTATAAAAGCGTAGAAAAACTGCTTTTATAACTTCCCATCTCCAACCAGCAAGACTCCGAAGGGATCACAAAAACCAGGCAGCCGGACGCTTCGCGCGCACCAAGCGGTCTCTGTTGGGCGACCCCACTCCCACCCTGCACCTTCGGTCTTCTCCCACCAGGTCTCGTACGGTCGAGGCCACCGGAGCATGCCGGCCCAGGTGGGCGGCAGCCAGAACGCTCCGAGGCCCGCCGCGAAGCCAGCCGGAGTTCTGCGGGCTGCAGGAGGAGCGTCCCGGCAGGCAGCGATCCGCGTGCGGCTGGTCCCGCGGCGCCAACGGAGCGGCCGTTGCCGGGGCGACCGCTGGACGCCCGGCCTGGAGCATGGCGGCGGCGGCGGTGGCGCGCAGGGTGCCGCTGGGCAGGGAGGCGCACGGCGTCTACAGCCTCTGCTTCGGCGCGAGCGGCGCGCAGCTGGCAGCCGGCTTCGGCGACGGGGCCGTGCAGGTAGCGGGGCCGGGCGGCGGGCGCTCTAAGCCAGGGCCGCCGCTGCACGAGCTCACGCCGCTCTCCCCGCAGCTGGTGGACGCCGGGACGGGCGCGCCGGGACCCTGCCTGAGGCCGGGCCGGCGTCCGCGGCAGGCCGTCACCGCGCTCGGGTTCCACCGCGCCAAGCCCGGGCTGCTGCTGGCCGCCGGAGCCGACGGGGTCGTCGTCCTCTACGACCTGCGCGCGGGGAGCGCCGCGGCCTCTCTGACCGGTAGGCCCGCTGCGGGCGGGCGGGCGCACGGCGGGCGGGCTGGATGGCCTCGCTGACCCCCCCTCCCGGCCCCGCAGAGGAGGAGAATGAGATCCACGCGCTGGACTTCTGCCGCGACGGCAGCGCCTTCGCCACGGCTGGGAAAGACCGGCACATCCGCCTCTACGACAGCCACACCCACCAGGTGAGCCCCGCCCCTCCACGACCCTCCAGGTCCCCGCGCGCGCGCGCCCTCGCCTCCCGCGCTCTTCCTCCGCTTCTCATTTCAGCTCGTCCACGTGGTGCGCGCCCCCGACTTCATGGCCGGGGATGAATTTACGCCCTTCAGCGGCCATTCCCGGCGGATCTTCGCGCTGCGCTTCCATCCCAGCGAGTTGCACCTTTTCCTGACCGGCGGCTGGGACAACTCCGTCAAGGCAAGTGCGGTCCCCGCAGGGGCGGCTGCTCCCCCCCCCCCCGCGCTCCCCCCACGGCGCCTGGGTCAGCGAATGGCTGCCTGTCCTCTCTGCTAGGTTTGGGACAAGCGCGTGCCCAAAGGGGCGCAGAGCGTGATCAACGGGCCCCACATCTGCGGTCCTGGGATCGATATCAAGGTGAGTCCCGTCCGAGGCGGGAGCGGAGTGGGGCGGCGCGGGGGATTTCCACCTTCACAACCGAAAAGGATGCGATTGCCGCCGGCCAAATGGAGTGGGTGGGAGCCCTCTCGGGTAGGCTTCCCCAAGGCCTGGCCTGGCTGCTGGGCTGAGCAAATGGCAAGGTGGAGCCTTGGGTCAGGCAGAGACCAGGCCTCCTCGGTGCTGACAGCAGCATCCTCTGAGCTTCCCAAAGGGAGACAGGGCACCAAGTGCCAACTGATCTCTGATGGAGAGACCCAGCAGGGTAGCAGATGAGAGGGCCTCCCCTTGTGTTTCTTGGGCTTCCAGGTGAAGCATCAGGTGCAAGTGACTTCAAAGCATCAACTGTAGGCTACGTGTCTTTACGTTTAACACTCCAGCAATTACTTGGAAACTCCAAAGGGAAGAAAACCTTGTGCCAAAGAGAGAGGACAGTGAAGTCACCCATCTGCCTCCCCCCCCCCCCCAAATAGGGAGAACATATCCTGACTGCCTCCTGGGTTCCTCACAATGCTCTGCAACTATGGGACCTGCGGATGTCCCGGCTGTGGCAAAACGTGCCCTTTCCTGGCAACCCCACCCAGGGAGAATTCCTCTACTCAGCCCAGTTCTGCACTGAGGACGTGGTGGTGGCCGGGGGCAGTGGTACCAGTGGTGCTGGGATTATCCACACTGGAACAGGCCAGGTAAGGGCTGTGGCAGTGGGGAGGTAGAGTCTCGGGAGTAGCTGGTGCAGGGGCAGCTGCCGATCGCCGCCAGGATCTCCTGCTGCAGCCCTTCCTGGTTTTCCCTTGCTGCTCACAGGTGATCGGGGAGGTCCTGCTGTCCAACAAGCCAGTGCATGCCGTGGCTTCAGCTTCCAAAGGGCAGCCCGTGGCCGTCGCTGGTGCAGGGGGAAACCTCTACCTTGCTGAGCTGCACTGAGGCACTCTGGCTGGGAGCCAGGCCAGCAGGAGACAGTCCTTTATAGCGGAGGCATCAGTTGCACAACTGGCAGCTTCGCGGCTGTTCTGGCCTCTCACCCTGCCCCCACCTTATGCCCATTTGGCAACCCCTTCTCCCCCCTCCCCCTCCTGCATATTGTTCTGACCTGCCCTTTGCAGTGTCAGGGGTGCTCCTGTATTTTCCCCAGGGATGGGACTCCATTTGGGCCTGAGACATGTGGTGCGTGGGGGATGCCCCCTGCCAAGGATGTGTGTAATAAAGCTTCCTAATGGCCGCCAGAACCTGTGTCTGAGAAACAGGTGCTGTGTTGCCCACGACCGGGATGCCTGTAGGAAACGGCGAGTAGGAGGAGGCGGGCTGGGTGCTTCAGCTTTGCTGTGGTGTGAAGGTCCCATCCAACCGTGCAGAGCTAGAGTGCCTCGGTGGGATCTGTATCGGTGCAGCCTGGAATATCAAGTGGAGAAATGGTTCCACAGCAGGAACAGGATTGTTTGAGCCGATCCCAAACTCAGCTAGTCTTTCATGGCCGTTTCCCTGCTTTCCTGATCTGTAACCAAACTCAGCAGGGGCTTGAGGAGGTCTCTCTGGTTTCCAAAGAAGATGGAGGTGAATAAGAATGCCCGGATGTCTTCAGGTTCTGAGTGCAGATGCTGCTCTTCACTCGTTGAATAGCACGCATTTCCTACCAGACATCAGGTATTTTCTAGAACCGAATGACCTACCTGAAACCAGGGCTTTCCCTGCCTTTTCGGTCTGTTCTGGGTTGGAAGGAGAAAGGCTCCCTCTTTATTTATTTATTTAATGGGACTTAGATGAGCCCCCAAGGGGCCCCCTGCCCAGTGTGGAAATCCATGTGGATGCATCCAGACAGGCCAGGATCCTGGCATGGGCCTATGACAATTCGCCATGGGCAACTTGCTCTGGCCAACTCACCATGGGCAACTCGCCGCAGGACAACTCACTGCAGGACAAGAGTTACACTAATATCAAAGAACTAGTGGAATAGAATCATTGGAGAAAGGTTGCAAAAGAAGGGACAGAATGAAATATGAATGGCAAAAATTAAAATATTTTAATTTTTATTTTAAATAAAAATTTATTTATTTTATTTTAAATAATCAAATAGAATTGTTAAATTGTCCTGCAGTGTGTTGTCCCATGGTGAGTTGGCTGTGCTAAGTTATCCCATTCCGTTTTGACATGGGGGACAATTAGCCCCTGAGAACACCAGCCCCGCCCTGTTCGTGTTGGAGGCACTGTTTAAGACGTTTCTGGGTTGAAAGGATTAGCTGACGACATCACCGCTGCCCAGGAGATGCCCGCGGGGTCTCCCTTTCATGTCTCTGTCAAGGAGCTGGAGCCCATGAGAACACTAGTGTCAACCCAGGAGTGGGTCTGACTGGTGCCTGGTGGCTCTGGTGGGATATCACCCACTTGCGTTCCTCTGAATCCACAGGAAGGGTCTTGAGTCCAGCCATCTAGCTCAGATTCCCAAATGCAGTTGAAAAGCAGGGCAACTCCTTAGTGGCAATGACCTAATTTTAGAGGAAACTTGGAAAAGAGGTTTTAGAACATTTGCTTCTATCCCCAGCTTATGTAAACAGTGTACAAAGCACTCTCCCCGGCCCCCAATTCTGTTGCTTGCTGACCTGGTTGAAGTGAGCCCATTGCCTCCCGCTGCTGCTGCCGCTGCCGCCGCCGCCGCCGCCGCCGCAGATGGGCTGCTGCCCAAGTACAAGCGTCCCTCGCTTAAGAACTTTGGTAACCACCCACTGCAGGGAGAGTCTTGAGAGAGATTTATTTTAGAGCAGGAACACTTTGATTTCAAATGTCTCTAGCAGCCTCACTGGCTTGGAAACTGTCCCAGAAAAAGATTGAGCAGCCCTGGTGTTTCTAGCAGGGTCTTCTCTTGAGGGGAGGTCTTCAGAAAAGAGAGGCTTCCCACCATGGCCCGAATGCGTTGGAGGGTTCACTTGGGGAGGACCGGCAACAGACTCCTTCAAGCACCAGGCCGGCAATGTCCTTGGAAGGCAGCCTCGGCCTTCTTGGCCACCCGCAGGGCCGGTGCTGCAGCCATTTGCTGAGATCAGTCACCGATGGTGGAGCGCGGAGGTAGGCGGAGGCTTCTCAAGGCACCCCTTTTTGGCCCCCCCCCCCCCCCCCCCGGTAGCTGAGGATCCTATGGCCTCACCTGTCAGCTGAGCACAAGGGAGGGGATTTCAGAACATTATTACTACTGCAATCCTGAGTCCAACCCCCTTACCTCCTCCTCCTGCCCTCCCTCAGTCAGGTCTAGCATCTTTGGACCTTCACATGGATAACAATAACGCTTGTGGTGAGCAGTCCCGTGTTAGGCCTTGGTTTCCAGGCTTGCCTCAGAAGCTTAGAAAAATGGGTTCGGCTCAGGCGGGGGGGTGGGGTGAAGGGTTGTGGCTGCCCCAGGAGATTCTGCCTGTAAACCCTGTCCCCTTGTGTGAAGGCCTGCAGCGCTCTCCTGGCAACTACCTTTATGGATGCTCGTCCAGCTGGCTCGGAAGAAGACGCCTCAATGCCGTGGGCTCTGCTTCCCATCAGTACCGGCAGACGTAGAAGCGAAGACCCCAGGGGGGGCTTCGATAGAGCGCGTCCTCTCTTTCTCGCTGGCTTCGCTGTGCTGCTTGCCTGCAGGGGTCAAAGAGTGCAGAGACATTTGCCTTAGTGATGGGCCTTTTGAGCACCTGCCCAGGTATCGAGTGTGAGCAGAACGGGATGACCGTGAGTGCCCAATGCCTGGATTCGAGGGAACTGGGCTGGGGATTTGCAGACTGACCTCTTTGGGCAAGTGTCCGTCTGGCTTGCTTGGGGGTAGACAGGCTCAGAATGCCCCTCTCCAGCATGGATCGGCCTGCATGTGGGGAGTCGGGGGGCAGCAGCAGTGGGCTGGCAGCTCTGCTGTCACTCTCCAGGAGTGAATTCTCTGTGATGGGAGGGGGAAGACAGACAGGGTTAGCTTTGTGCCCCCCCTCCCGGTGCATTTGCTGCTTTGATGCAGGAATCAATCAGCCAAATCTTGCGATGCGCTTGTCTTTGGAAAACAGCTGGAGAGAACGAAACCAGACCTGTCCCTGTTTTGGTGCAGACTGGGGTGGTGCTCTGCCCTTTGTGCTCCTCCTATTAAATTACGGCTGCCCATTTCAGGGAACAAGTGATCTTTGCTTGGCATAGCCATTCATGTGTTTTTCTTGCAATTATTCTGATGTTTCCCTCTTGTTTCTGTGATGTCATTTTTTTTTCTTTTTCAGTATTGTTTATCCCTTGTGATGATGTGTGCATCTGCAGAGAGATTATTCACATCTTCCACCCAGCCATTTCTTCTACCGGCCTGTGGGGGATGGAGTGGGCGGCTCCAGTGCCTCCCCCGCCAAGCAGCTTGCCTGAGTCAAGGGTGGAGGTGGGGCAGAGGCAGGCTGGGGCTTCTCCTGCTCCTCGGAGGGTGGAAGGTAGACATTGTGTAGCCAAGAGAGACCCCTCAGCAGTCCTAATGGTTCTGTTGGGGGATGTGTGTGTGTGTGTGTGTGTGTGGAGATATGACTCTGAGATGCTGCAACTGATCATAAGGAGGCAAGCTTCTGGCAACCTGGTTATAACCAAGCAGGTGAACTCCCCCCCCCCTTTACTTCCCTTTGGTAAATCTTTACAATTACAAAATAAGTTTAAGCTTTCAAATGAGAATCCCGAGGCCGATCTAAGAGCAGGAGAGGAACTGCTGCCCTTGAGTCTGGCCTGCTATGCTTTTTCCAAGTGGGGTTCTATTTGGGTGCCCAGGTATTGCCAATGTAGAAAAGTTTCTGCCTCGGAGTTGGCACCTCTCCCTATTTCTGTGGTCCTGGCAAAGGGATCCTCCATCGTGGGGAAGACAAAGGCAGAATGAAATGGGGAGGGAGGCTTGAAGGAATAAATAAATGAAAAAGCAGTCACTCAGGTGTGTCAGCACAGTCTGGATGCCCAGGTAGCCCACTTGTCAATCGCCATTAGGAGTGACAACTCCCATCACTTAGGAGCACAATGGTAAAGTGACATGTTACTGTGCCCAACTTATGTCAGTTTGTCAGTTCTGGCTGCAGTTCTTTAAAATACTGTATTTTTTGGAGTATAAGACGCACCAGAGTATAAGACGCTTAGTTTTTGGGGAGGAAAATAAGAAAAAAGCTGATTGGCAGGTGGATCAGCCTCCAAGAATACTCCCAATCAGTTGTTCCCAGAGGTGAATTTTAGCAACAGGTTCCTTGGTTGTGAGTTTTGTGCCTTGCCTTTTTTTGCTTTTTTTTTCTGCCTCTGAAACTTCTGAAACTGTTTCAGAAAAACAAAATTTTCTTGCCTCTGAAAGAGCTTCAGAAAAAAAGCCTCTGAAGTTCTGTTTGGGAGCTTTTTTTCTGAAGCTCTGTTTGGGGCTTCTTTTTGGAAGCTTTGTTTCTGATGCTTTTTTCAGCCTCTGAAACCTCCATTTGAGAAGCTGGGCAGGGCTACATTTGGAATATAAGACGCACCCAGATTTTCACCCTCTTTTTTCGGGGAAAAAGGTGCGTCTTATACTCCAAAGAATATGGTACTTACTTATTCAATTTCTATAGCTGCCCATTTCACCCAAGTTGTTAAGCGAACATCCACAGTCATTAAGCAGGTCACTCAACTGCAACTGTTGACTTCCTACTGGCTTCCCCATTGACTGTGCTTGTTGGAAGCTGCCCGTTAAGGTCACAAATGGTGATTGCATTATTGTGGGATGCTGTAACCATTGTAAGTGCTTGCCAGTTGCCAAGTGCCTGAATTGCAGTCACCTGACTGCAGGGAGGCTGCAGCAGCTGCATTTTTGATGGAAGTCTCCTTTTGAACGCTGTCAACTTCTAACAGTCACTAAATAAAGAGTAAGTAAGGACCATAACTGGTCCACTGGCAGCCCATAATAAACTCTGGTTTTATGGACTTCAGTGGATTTTACTGCATGCAAAAAATCACCTTCCCCAAACACCATTTTATCAGTCAGTCTGTTTTTAATGGGGACTAGTTAAACAAACTCTCAAGGAGTAGCCAGAATGCCACTTCCTGGAAAAGTAGTCTGTGTATGTGTGTGCGTGTATGTGGATGTTGTGTGAGCATGCCAGTGATCATCCAAGGAAGGAACCCAGACCTTGACCCACCCGTGCCTCACCTGGAGCGTTACTGTCACTTGTGTGGGGGTCCTTCTCTCCAGCTCCGGCCAGCCTGTTGGGGCAGAAGGTTCTTAATTCCCTCTGGCTTCTGTCCAGGGCTACCATCCTCTCCCCATAGCTGGCTCCTATTCTTTCTGGTCCACTGGAGCTGACATTTGTTAGAGGCTTCCAGGGAGCTGCAGCCCCCCCCCCCCCACACAACTGTGGTCCTCTGTGCAGAGACAGATCCCCCCCTCCTAGTTTTGAGACCAGGTTTGCCAGTAGAACATGGCTTATGTTTCCTTGCTTTGACTAAGATTTGAAGTTGATGCCTTCTCATTCCTCACCTCCTTTTTACGGACAATTTCTGTAAAACTACTCGATAGTTTTTTGCAAAATGGACCATGCTGGTATCTGAACTTGATTCCATCTTCTGAAAAACTAGAACAAAGTGAGCGTACAGATTACAAAGGGGGGTTTCAGCAGGGATGAAATCCAACAGGTTCTGACAGGTTCTGAAGAACTGGTAGCAGAAATTTTGAATAGTTCAGAGAATCAGTGGTGGAAATTTTGAGTAGTTTGGAGAACCGGCAAATGCCACCTGGCTGCCCCAGAATGGGGTGGGAATGGAGATTTTGCAGTATCCTTCCTCTACCATGCCCACCAAGCCACGCCCACAGAACCGGTAGTAAAAAAATTTGGATTTCACCACTGGGTTTCAGTGAACCCAGAAGGTTACAGTGAACCTCAGTTCTGCTGAGGTTGCTGGGCATTTTCAAAATCATAACATCAAGTATTTTCTCCTGCTTGCCTAACCTCACAAGAACCGGGAAGAATGTTTTTGGAGAACAACGGGTTCAGTTTATCTGAAGGGCTTTAAACTAAAACTGGAGGGGAAGATAACCAAATTTTGGGACCTAATCCTAAATATAAACCTGAAGGCAATTGACCAAGTGGTAAGAAAGCAGAGGAACTCAGATACAAAACAGGAGCCACAGGAAGCAAACGCAGGGCCAGTCGAAAAGGCCTTGGACACCTACACAACTAACACTTGAAGTATAAGGAACAAACAGGGCAAACTAAAAATCCAAGTACAGGAGGGCAGATACAAGATTATTGCCATTATCAAAACTTGGTGGGAGGAAACCCATGACTGGAAAGTTCTGCTAGAAGGATTTATATTGTTCAAAAGAAATCTAATAAAAGAAGAGGTGGATTTGCATTATATATAACAAACAACTGCACCTGTACAGAAACGCAAATACAAACAAACAAAAAAAAAAGATGAAAACTCTTGAGTGCATTTGGGTTATTAGAAAAGGAAAAAAGAACGACATTGCCATAGGTGTATCCTACAGACCACCCAACCAAGCAGAGGAAATGGATGAAGTCTCTGCTAATGTGTGCAGGAAACCCACTGCAATAGTAACAGGGGACTTCAACTACCCTGACACCAACTGGGAGACAAACTCTGCCTCAAGTGGGAGATCAAGCAGATTCCTGAGAAACCTAGCAGACAACTTTGTCACCCAAAAGACACAGGAGGGAACCAGAGGTCAGCTATCCTGGACTAATTTGGATAAAATGATAGAGGAGGTTGAAATGGTGGGAATTTTGTGGGAAGACTGACCAAGTTCTATTGGAATTAAACTATTTGTTTATTATTTATCAATTTTATTGGATGCCCATCTTACCACAGAGTAACTCTACAAAATCAAACGAGCGTCTTAGACTTTAAGAGAGCTGATTTCAACAAATAGAGCTTCCATGAATAGAAATCTTAAAGGGGAAACCAACTCAAGAAGCTTGGGAAACTGAATAATGAGATTATAAAAGCCTGGTCTAGCATAATACTATTGAGAAAGAAAAATAAGAGATGCCAGATGAAACCAGCATGGTTGCATAAGAATGGAGTCAAAAAGAAGGGACACATAACTAAAGCAAAATACTAGCAAATAGCTCAAATCTGCAAAGATGTCAGGAAATCTAAGGCTCAGAATGAATTAAGAGTTTCAACAAATGTCAAAAATAATAAAGTTTCATATGTAATGGGGATGGAGGTAGAAATGAGCTCGGGGAGGAACAGAATCCCTTGGATGGGGTCCAGGAGAATGGCCTGGTCAATGGTACTGAAGGGGCCAAGAGGTTCAGCAGAACCTTCCCTCCATCTTGGGCCTGTCAGCAGGAGTGACTCATACAGTTTCTGTCCCATGCTGAGGCCTGAATCCTTACTGAACAAGGGTCCCGGTGGTCTTTTTCCTCCAGTCTCTGTAACTACGGTATAGTCCAAGTACCTTATTAAGCATTTTCCCTCGGAAGAGAAGTTGGAATCTGGTTGATACTTTTCTGAAATTTGCACTTGGATGATGGTCTCTTGAGGAGAAAGAGCCTCTTCCCTTCTCATTTCCAGGGTGCCCTAAAGACACCAGAAGACCCCCTTCTGTCTGCTCGCCTCAAAGGGCCTTGCTGTGCATATGAAAAAGAGAAAAATCCATACCCCGCCCCCACCAGGCCCTTGCTATGGCATATTTTCATGCAGGAAGTATAGTTTTGGTCCTAGGTTTTATTTGTTGAGATATTTAAAATTAGTTTTTTAAAAAAGTTACGCAGATGGGTCGACGCTGCAAATGGCAAGACTATTTGTGATTGTCAGGAATTCTTGCTGAATGTCCCTCTCTTGCAAACCGTGTCATGTGGGTGATCTAAGCAGAGATCTAACACCACCAAGGATGGAGCTTTATGGACCTATCAATATTCAGGAAGTTAAAAACATATTTCTTGCACTGTTATATTTATCATAGTTTAATACCCAAAAAATATTCCAGGGAAGATGAATCCAGGTTAACAAAAGAACCAACGCAGGTGGGGGTTTTAGAAAGGTAGATCCACACTTGAAATGTAGAGGAATTTTCTGAATGTGTGTGAGCTATTGTGGAAGAGATTCATGCAGGTGGTGGTGGGGGGACGGGGCGGGGCGGGGGCGGCTTCATCATTGGAGGTTTTCCAGCAAAGGTTCGGCATCCTTCATCTGGGATGACCTGAGGAGTCCTGCCTGGGCAGGGATTGGACCAGAAGTTCCCTTCTAACCCTAGGCTTCTATAATCTTTTAATTATTTCCAATATTTTTTGTCAATTATTGTATCATTATCCATGAGTTTATTATTGCTGTAAGCCAGGGACTGAAGTGGCATAAAAGCAGGAAACCATAACCATGGGGGAGCCTGGTGGCATTTAGAGGTCAGGCCCAGGCGCCCACCTCCCAGGAGTCTTCTGCAGAGGGAGGGTGCGTGGGAGTGGGGGAAGCAGCATGAAACTTGGTCCCACTGAGCAAAAAGGGAGTCTCCGGGTTAGCTCAGGCAGGGCAACCGTCCCTCCTTTCCTCTCCTACCTTTGCTCAGGTGGGAGAGGTCCTCCTGTTCCAGGTTTTTAGACAGTTCTGAGCTGTAATAGTTGAGCGTGTAACCTAAACAAAATCAATTTCAGAATTTTGTTTTGTTTTATGAACACACCTAAATAACCTCTTCCCCAAGGCCTGCAAAAATATGGCAGGCAACAGGGTTTTTTTAAATTAAAAAGTAGGGTGCTGACCCAGTTAGGCAAGTGGCGAAGATTGGGTGTAAACATGCATTCTACATGCACCTTGGCAGGGTTACAGGAAGAGAAGGTACAAGCCGAAGTCCGCTCCTCACTTGTGCTTTAATGCAGCAAACCCGTCTCCTACCAACACCAATTTCCTCTCTCCTCCCCCATCCTCTTTGTGCCCCTCATTTTGTGCCAAGCAGAGACGTTTCCTCCTTGCTTGGTTCTGATGCGACTCTCTCTGGCTCTTCGGGAACGAGGGGGGAAAGGGTGAGCTTTCGAGGGGGACAGATTGGCAGAGGATTCTCCCAGCTGCCCAGGTTCTCCTCCTGCTGGATGTCACTGACTAGTGGGACCATTCAGCGGAGAGGAGGGGCATCTCGAAAGCTGACCGGGCCCCTTGGGAATAATTCCGGCAAAGCAATGCGGACTGAAACTGACAGTAAGAATTGATTTGCTGGCTCGCTATGTTGCTAAAACAGAAGGGAAACAAAATTGCAAGTGGTGTCTGGTACTCCCCAAACCTTATGAATCCCCAAAGCTTTGTGACTTCCCATTTCACCTCAGTTTGCTTATTGAACAAGTTGGGAGCAAATTCTCATCCTTCTGAAAGAAGTTCGGAGTCTTTCTGCACTGGGCTGCAGATTCAGCCTGTCATTCTGGGGAGGGGGGGGTTGCGAAAGGTTGGCCTGAGCCTTTTCACAGGCTTCCTGGGTCAGAGCAGGACAATCTATGGCCGCCCATTGACCCACTTCCAACATGCACTTTGCTTGGTGCAACATGTCCACTAAGGTGTGCCTCTGTGGCATATACCCTCCCCAGCCACCTCTTGGCTTTCCCTCCAGCAGCCGTTTAAAAGCTGCTTTGCCACCCTTGGGAAAGTGGTCCCGATTCAGCTCTCCCTGGGCCCGACCCCCCCCCGCCCGTCTCATCCCTGCCTTGGGACCCAGAGCGCTGCCTGTCCGGCAGCCCCTCAGTTTGCCTTCTGCCCCCGCGGAAGCTGCGGAGAAAAGGACTGGGGAAGGGGCTGTGATTCAAGGGAGGGAAAAGCATTTCCTGAGATTTACCCATGAACCGTGCGGCACCATTCCTGATTTCGGTCTGGGCATGATGGAGGAATCCCAAGGACTGGGATATGAAAATGTGGATATTGTCATGGTTGTTCCTCATCTGCAGAGAAAAAAAGCACAGGAATTCATGGTAGAGAGAAGGATGTAACCCATTCGGTCAGGGGTGAAATCTAAAATTTGTTACCAGCGGTTCTGTGGGCGTGGCTTGGTGGTGGGGGTAATGTGATTGGGTGGGCGAGGCCAATTTTTTTTTAACTTTTAAAACCATTTTTTCTACAACCTTCGGCGAAGAGGTTGTAAAAAAAATGCTTTCAAAAGGCTCTGACGATCCCAGCTGAGTTGCCTGATTGGCAGAGACTTTTTTTCTTTTAAATGCCTCTAACGATCAGGCAACTCAGCTGGGATCGTCAGAGGCATTTAAAAGAAAAAAAGGGTTTTTTCTTTAAAAAGCCTTTGATGATCCCAGCTGAGCCACGCGATCATCAGAGGCTTTTTTTTTTTACTTTTAAGAGCATTTTTTCAGCCGAAGAGGTTGTAGAAAAAATGCTTTTAAAAGTAAAAAAAAAGCCTCTGATGATTGTGCGGCTCAGTTGGGCATGGGGGGGGGGCAGGGATTTTTGCTACCGGTTCTCCGAACCACCTGCCTTCATCGCTACCAGATCCGGCGATCCGGTCCGAACTGGGAGCATTTCACCCCTGCATTTGGTCCTGTTCTGCTCTGGGCCAGGTCCCTCCACCTGCACTTCTCCTGCACAGGTTCTCTGAATTGCTCTACGCTCTGGCTGCTATCAGCTTTGAAGGTATCCAACTGCCGTGTTCTTTGGTGGTCTGGTTTCCTTTTACCACTAACTCTTCCAAGCATAATTGCTTTCTCCAGTGAATTCCTCTACATGACATGGCCAAAACAATAAAGATATAATTAAAACTAGTTCTCATCTTACAATGGTACATTTAGTGACCGTTCAAAGTTACAACAGCACTGATCATTTTTCACACAACCGTAGCAGCATCTCCATGTTCACATGATCAAAATTCGGATGCTTGGCAACTGATTCATATTTATGACGGTTGCAGTGTCCCGGGGTCATGTGATTCCTTTTGCGACCTTCTGATAAGCAAAGTCAACGGGGAAGCCAGACTCACTTAACGACCGCACTAACTTAACAACTGTTGAGTGATTCACTTAAGGTCATAAAATGGAGCAAAATTCATTTAACAAATGTTTCACTTAGCAACAGAAATGTTGGGCTCAATTGTAGTCGTAAGTAATTATTTGGCCAGACCATGTATTTCTATTTCTCCTTTTTCTGATATCCCTCAAGATGTATGAGAGGGTGTTTTCCTAAAGCAGGGAGGCCCAGTGGCTTGGCTTCAGACTTCCGTGGGAAGCATTGGAGGGAAATGAAAATGGCCTGTTCCACTTGTCTTCCTGTCCTCAGGCCAGGCCAGGTCAGGTTGAGAGCTGGGCACATCAGTGTGTGACTATGGAAGTCCATGCAAGAGGTTGCTCTTTTCATGGATGACAGACTTGGCTTTTATCTCTTTTTATGTTTTACTCAGTTCTTTTTTTACATCTCTTCCACGGGTCCCCAGAGCTCGGTCAGTGTGACTAGGAAGGAAACTTTTCCTGTAATTCAGGCACAGAGGCCATGGCAAACAAGGGAGCCGTGGAGTCATGAGGCTGACACAGAATTTATCTCCCCACCCACTCAAATTCAACCCAGTCTCATCCCGCGTTTTCCTGTGTGTACAGGTAGTCCTTGCTTAAGGTTGTTCTAATAGCCATAATGCTTAGACTTATGTATCATTTCACAGTGCTTTACAGCCTTCTTTGAGTGGTTACAGAATCAGCATCTTTTCCCCCAACCATGCGGGTCCTCATTTTACTGACTTCGGAAGGATGGAAGGTTGAGTCAACCAAGAATCATTCCTCAAGGAGTGATCCTTGAGCCGGTCAGAATTGAACTCCTGGTGTGTGGACAGAGTTGGCCTGCAATCCTGCACTCTGAGCCACCAGGGCTCTTAGTTACAAAATGCTCAACAAAATAGACTTTTGACCCACCCTTGAAGTCTCAACTGCTGCACAGAAATGATGGCATTCGGGGCGGTTGGCAACAGGTCTCCATTTAAAACTGTTGCAGCATCCTGCGGTCACATTTCTAGCAAAAATGCCCATTGGATACATTGGGTTCGCTTAATGAGCATGTGGTTTGCTTAATGGCAAGGATGCAGAGTGAAATGCTCCCGGTTTGGACTGGCTCGGGCGAGTAGGTAGCGATGGCGGTGGGCAGTTCGGAGAACCGGTAGCAAAAATCCCTCCCCCCCCCAGCCTCCAGCTTGCTTACCTTCGCACTGCCTTGCTTCGCTTGCTGTAATCCCTGCAATCCATTGCATCAGCAAGCAACTTAATCTTCCTGCCTGCAATCAAGCTCATCGGTGAGCAGCTCTATCTGCCTGCCTGCCTGCCTGTAAGTTTTTTTCCCCTTTGGGAGCTTTAAAAAAATAGTTAATTGGGGTTTTTTTAGTTGTTCTTTTTTTAGATCTAGCCATTTAAAGTTTAGGAAGTTTTAAATTTAGCTGCTTTTATATAAAAATAAAATAAAATAATATTTGTGCAGCTTTCTGAGCTTTTCTGTAGTGTTTCACTCTTAACTACACAAACACACAAAATCTCACAAAGCTGTATGTGGAATTTTGTGTGTATAAAGTGTGAAAGTTGGTTTTTGGGGCTTTTTGGGGCTGTGTGAGTGAGGTTCCTGCTTGTTGCAGGGGCCATTTTGGGTCTAGCACAGCTGCTTTTACATTGTGGGTGAGCCAGTTGTCTTGTGTTTTGTAGGTTAAAAAAAGGCAAAGAAGTGACGTTGACTTGGCCACGCCCACCTGACCAACAAGCCATGCCCACCCAGTCACCTGACCACCAAGCCCCGCCCACTAATTAAGCCCTGCCCACAGAACCGGTAGCAAAAAATTTTAGATTTCACCCCTGCAAGGATGACTCACATTATATGCATTATGTAAAAGTCACAAATTGTGATTGTGGGCCTAGGGGACGCTGCAACCGTTTGTAAATGCAAGCCATTGGCTGAGCACCGCAAACATGGCTTCCTGACCAGGGCGTCTGTGTGAAGTTTTATGACAGTTAATAAACAAGGACTGCCTATACTAACTTTGTAAATGGCTTCCATTTAAGAAAAAAAAACAACAGCTGCCAAGCAACCCTTCACTGACCAAGTATTTCCAAGCATTCACCAAGCAGCTCCGGAGATCATCCCAAGCTAGACTGCGGAACATCAGCTTCAGGTGGGCCCACCCAAGGAAGACTCCACAGTGCAAGAGAGTCAACTTGCAGCTCTGCAACCAGGAAGAAAGGGGTGGCAGATGGGTGAGTTGCCCTCTGCAGAAGAGGACATCTTTCCAGACCCCCAAAGTCATCTCAGCCTAAGAGGGAACATACTGGGGTACCGATCAAGCCACCAAGCTCACTGACATCCCACCTCTCAAACGACAGAAGTGGCCACCCTTTTCTAAACCTTGAATGCCTGTTAGAGTCCTTGCTCTTCCTAGTGGTGGGACATGTTCATGAGGCAGAAGGACGGGGACAAATGGCCTGCTTCCAAACTCATGTTTGCCCGCTGTCTGTTCTTCCAAGGTTGCTGGGCTTCCCTCCTCAGTTATTGTGTAACTGAAGCGAGGGATTCCGTTGTGAGTATTGGCTCGTGACTATAGACACCACCACCTGCAAACCATGTTTGTTGAGCTTTACTGCGCCCCCTTTGAATCCTCTAGTTCTACATTCATGTTGGTGCTACTGAACCCAGTTCAATCTTCACCCCCTCAGAAGGCCACCCCCACTGGAGGTTTGATTTGTTCCTAGATTCAAGGCCATATAGGCAAGACTTTAGGATGCTCTGTTAGGGTCCTTTCTGTTTGTGCTGATGATAGTCAGTGTTTCAGAACGGATCCTTCCCAGGCCAAGCTGGAGATACCAGCTAGGATTGGAGTTCTAGAGAAACAGATGTTCTACCCCTGAACTTTCACCCTTCCATGGTGCCAGAGGAGAGCCACCTCTGTAGGTGTCTGAACTTGCCATGGCCACCGTGGTCTCCCGATCTTTCAAATGGAGCAGCAGAGGGAGGAGGCTGTAGACCACTTCTTTCTTGAGGAGGGCCTTCTCCGTTTCCTTGGACCTCATCACCAGCTGCCCAAACAAGGAAATGGCAGTTGCCCGGACGTCCGCTCTTTCCTGATGGGGACACACAAAGCAAGAAGCTTGTATGAAGTGCGGCTTTTCTGTGATGACAGTCCAGCTTTACGCTCTTGGGAACCCCAAAGAATTTCACCTGACAGCAAAAGAGGAGAGAGATTTTAGTGGATTATCTGGGGATTGTTCAAGTTCTTTCAAGCCCTCTCCCCCTGAAACATTCTTCCATTCAAAATAGAGATTTAGAAAATTGCCTTTACTGGTTTCCAACATCCTCCCCACTTTTAAGGTGACCATTTCAGAAATCCAGGTGGTTTTTTTTCTCTGAATTTACTAGCCTTCAAGGGTTTGATACCCCTGGAGTGATTCAGCAGGTGTTTGTATGTTTTTACGGAAGCCCCAACCCCAGTTCTTCAAAACTTACATCCTCAAAAAATGAGCGGACATTCAGAGCAAGGTCAACAGAGATGAGCCCAATTCCCTGGCCATCCATTTCATAGAGTGTGGTCATTATGTCGTTCAGCCCTTCCAGAACGTCTTCACATCCACTGAAAATAGAGTTGATCATTGTTGGAAGCTGATCTCGTAGGGACTTAACCTGAGCAGACAAGAGGGAGGCAAACACAGGTTTGAGAGGGAAGTTTGCTGCGAGTCTCAAATGGGGAACTGCAACCCCTGCCTATGGGGACCAGGATGGGAGCTTCCCTGCCTCTTGCATTTTTCTTTGAAAAGAAAGAGTGTGGATGGGGCTCTGAAAATCCTCTGGTTTTCAAATCCGACATCTAGATGGTGGTGCAATTGCCTGCCTAGCAAAGCTGCCCAAGACTCCTACCTGCTTATTAGGAGTGAAGGGTCTGTCTTCAGAGTTAGTGATTGCCGTTTTTGTGGGTGACCGTGGGGCGAGCCCTGTGAGGTGAGCAGGACCGTAAAGACTTTATGAGGAACGGGTGGTGGCCACTTTCCAGGGAGGGAACTCAGGGGGAGGGAACAGCCTGGCATGGGGGAGTGGCAGCAGTTGGACAAAAGAGGCAGGACGCAGATCCTAGCCTACCCTTGGCTCTCTGGGAGACCCTCAGCTGGTGAGTCCATCAACCCAAACTACCACAGAGGAACCACTCTGTAGGCTCCTTTTATACAAAACCTGGGATATAAATCAGATCACCCCCTCCTCCGCATTAGGAAATGTTGCTTCCCCCTCCTGCCCCCGCCCCACTTTCTACTGCTGTCAGAGGGGAACATGGTAGAAGCATTCCAGGAACAGGAGCAATGGCTGAGAAATGAAGCCCAGAAGGAGCAGGGAGGTTTCTTAGAGCCGCTAGCAGGAGAGCAAACCCCGAACCTCCTTGGCTGGGCCTTGTATTGAAGTCCCCCTCTGGACCGTTGAGGCTCCAGGGTGGGGTGGGGTGGAGAAAATATCCTTTCTGAATGAAGAATAGATGTCCTCAGCTTTTTTACAGCTCGGGTTTTTAATATAGTTTTTATTAAGAATTAAAAACAAAAAATAACAAACCTAATACAAAAAAGAAAAGGAGAAGGAAGAAAAAAGTCAAAAATGCTAAAAGAAAAGAAGTTGTGTTCAACTTCCCTTAGAGCAAGTATAATTACAAATACAAAATTCCCTCTTACTTTATGGTTACAGAAATAAACTCCCTTTTTTGTATTATCCGTTTTTATAATCCTAAAAACAGTAAGTTGTGCATTTTTTCCTGTTTCATGGAAAAACCAAACAAGATTTCCAATTAGCAATAAACATAGAAATTGTCTTTTCTCTAATTAAATTACAAAATCACATCAACTTGGCCATCTCAGTGAGTTCCATCATCTTCACCAAATATTCTCCCATTGCAGGTAATGTCAAGTCTTTTGTGCATACAATAATTTTACTGCAGTTGTCATATATATGTATGAATGTAGTTATATATGTATATGTATATATATCTCTATAGCTATACAGGTAATCCTCACAACCACAATTGAGCCCAATATTTTTGTTGCTAAATAAAACATTTGCTAAGTGAATTTTGCCCCATTTTATGACCTTTTGTTCTGCAGTTGTTAAGTGAATCACTGCAGCTATTAAATTAGTGACACCACTGTTAAGCGAATCAGGCTTCTCCATTGACTTTGCTTGTAAGAAGGTCACAAAAGGGGATCACATGATCCTGGGACACTGCAACCGTCATAAATATGAATCAATTGCCAAGCATCTGAATTTAGATCACATGACCCTAGGGATGCTGCAATGGTTGTAAATGTGAAAAACTGTCATAACTCACTTTTTCCAGTGCTGTAACTTTGAATGGTCACTAAATGAACTGTTGTAAGTCAAGGATTCTCCTTCTCTCTCTCTCTCTCTCTCTCTCACACACACACACACACACACACCACCACCACCAGCAGTCAGGAACCAGTTGCAAAAACTTCTGTTCACACACTCACTTCTGAGGAGCATCTGTCCAGAGTACAAAAGGGTTTATCTCAAAATCTTTCTTTGATCCAGAGAGATTTCTCTGATCAGTATCTGCCCTCGGACTGGCATTCTTGCCTGCAATATTGTCCCCACTCCTTTGGAAAAGTCTAATCCGGGGTCCCCAACCCCCAGGCATGGCCCATTACCGGGCTTTGAGCCTTTTGGAACTAGGCTGCGGAAGCATCCCCTCACCCGCCACTTGCATGGAACCATTCCCCCTCCCAGTCGGACCACAAAGCCGGATGGGTTGGGGAACTCTGGTCTAATTCCACCTCAGGTTTTGCTTTGGAGGGCCCAGGGTTTGCTTTCTCTTTCAGGTCAGTTGGCTGCCTACTTCTCTGCCTACAAAGTCTCTGCCATCTACTAGAAGCAGTTTCTCCCAGGAAGCTCATCTGGCTGGAGCAGGCAGTCCTGAAGGTACCTTGGCGCCAAGCCATAGGCTGCTTTACAAATAAAAATTAACATTTTGAATTGCATCTGGGAACCTTCCGGCACCAACGCAGGGCCTGCAAAATGTTGGTAACCTGTTGAAAGTGATGAGCAGCCTGTTCCTGAGAAAGTTGACTCTTTCTGCAAGTGTAGAAAGAGCCCTTGTTGGGCTCAAGCGGCATTATTTATTTATACACAAACAAACAAACATTGCCTTAACTCAATCTTGTTATATTGCTAGAGATAAAACTGTTAGTATTTTCACTGGCTATAAGTATGTTTTTGGTATTTACCATGGTATTGGTGCCTTGTGGAAACAGAGGGTTTTTGGCCTTCTCAGGCACCCACACAGTCCTGGTCCTTTCACTTTTAGAGGTGCGTCTTCTCTCATCAGCTGTCATTCATTGTTCCTCTTATCAACGCAATGACCCTACTACCACCAAAGGCAACTACTGTGCTGATTGGGTTGCCAAGAGGGCTGATCAAACACCTTTCTCTTTTTCAATATTTGCATCTGCATTTCATGTTCAAATTTCTCTCAGATGTGAGTCCGCTACTTGCCAACGGCTCAAGGTTCCTTCTGGATAGTTTCTATTGATGAACAATTGTTCCACACACTCTTCTTGTCTTCTGGCTCAGTAACTATATGCAGAAGGACACTGTGGCACCCAAACTATTGTAGATGCCATTCAACGAGACTGATTCGCTCTTGGAATCTAGGTAGAAGCTTCTGGAATGCCTTATGTGCCAAGCTTCTAGTGCTTCTTCTCAGTCAAGGACTCAGAAAGGGGATGCATCCATTTTCTTTTCTCATATTTACAAAGTGATTTTATTTCTTTGACTAACACACATGGATACAAGTTTGTTTGGGTGATTCCTGGCCCACTCACCTTCTGGCTTGAGGAGCCCTTATCGCTCATGCCCATGGCAGTGGTCTTGGGGGGAATGGAGAGCCAACTGGAAAATTAACATTTTACTGGGCAAATTTGTCAAGAGCCACAGGTGTTGCCTCTTGTATGATTTCAGTTGAGAAATAGACACCCCCCCCCCAAGATTTTGGCCTGTCTTCACCTGAAATATTTGCCCATCCTCCTTGTACAACTCAAGGTTTAGATGCTCATTCCTTGGCCCTCATTACAGGAAATTACTTTTTGAATCCATGTATTTTTTCTCTGAGCAGGCAAATCCAGCTTCTTGTGAAAAAGGGAAGCCTTCCCTTTGGGGACCGTGTCCATAGGAAGCTGGGTTTCTTTCTGGAAGACCACATCATGGCAGTCCAGCTGAGGTGGGCCGTCCCAAGCCCCGTGAACCACTTGTGCCTTTGGGAAGGTGGCTGAAGGACCACATGGTCTGTCACACCTACCTGAAGCTGCATGACTGCATGCAGTCCAGTACAAATGATTGGATCTCAGCCTGTGTCAGCCTCAGCTTTGCCTGCTTCAGCTGCCATAAGAAACGGGGGAGGGATTAGTTATGGGGTGAAGGGAGGGGAAAGAGGCAGGAGGTGGTTTTTTTCTTTCCACTGTAGGATGTGTCTTCCAAGGAATTGAAAGTGGATCTTCAAAGGGAACGGCTGACCAACTGCCCTACATTCCTGATGAATGATGCTGCCAGACGTGATGCCACCTGACCTTTGGGAGACCTTTGGATTGGCTGATGACCAATGGACAAGGGGGGGGAGAAGCTTAGTAGATGCTATTTCGTGCGGTTTGCTCACTTCCAGCTTTACCTGGGTTGCTATCATTTCATATTCAGTAAAAGTACTAAATTCTTCAAAATGCTTGAGTTTGGGGTTTTCTTTCCTGGATACTGAAGGAAGCATACCTGACAGCCTGCCTGGTTTTGGCAGCTTGCCCTTTAGAAATGATCAAATGGTAGCATTGGCTTGCCTGGTAGCCCTTTTTCCTATAAGTTTGTAATTTTTTGGATTTGGTCGCTTTTTTTAAAAATAAATTTTATTTCTTGTACTTTTTTTTAAAAAAGATTTTGTCGCTTTCAATGTCTAGGACTCTAGATGATTTATCTATTGTATGTTCCAAGTTTAACTGCACTGTTGAGCTCGCTGTGCTTAAGCACATGAAGATTCAGGAAATTAAGCAGATAAACGTAGGTGAAAGAGGTGCCTTTAAAGGGAATTTCTTGGGAAGTAAATTATCAGAAAGCTTTTAATGCCATTTTAGAAGGGAGGTTAATGCACAAGTGAGAGGGTCACCTGGGCAGTAAGAAAGGAATGAGAAGAAACCACGACACTCTAGGAGCCAGACTCTGCCTAGCAGGAAAAGTAAAACTTGAGGATTTTAGAACTAGACATGTGCAAAGTTAATACCTGACTATAAAGGGGGTTGCACCTGGCCTGGATCACCCTCAACCCTCTTGTGCCAATCCATCTTGAACTCTGATCTGTGGCGCCTGGTGTTTGACCTGAGCAGGGCAGGAATCACAGAGGGGCAATTTCTCCGGGCAGTTCTTACCTTCCCTTGCTGGAAAACGAAGCTGTTCAGCCCTTTCAGGCAGAGGTCTTGCACTGCTGGATTGGGTGCTGCCAGACCCTCCTCCAGGTGCTCCCGGAGGCTGAATCTGTTCATCATCTTGATGGCGGAGGAACTCTTGAGAAACTGAGGAGGCAAAAGAACCTTTTCTTTATTAGCAGATGATTGTGCTAGAGGACCTTTAGAAAGGCTAAAGGTCATGAACAGGCTCCAGGATATGGGAGGACATGTGTCTGTGTGTGTGTCCCTGTGTGTGTGTGCGTGTCGTCTCCCCCCCCCATGTGTGTGAACAAGCTTGGCTGGAGGCAGCAGCATCCACAAAGCTCCGCCTTGCTTGGTGGCTTGAGGACGAGACCCCACCCCTCTGAGGCAAGTCCTCACCTCGATCACGAGTGCCAAGGCCGTCACCTTCTTCAGCTCATCCTCCTCACTGCTGAGAATGAGAGCAGCCTCCCCAAAGATTCCCGGGATCTGGGCACTGTTGCACTCAGTCATGGCCCTACGTGATGGGACAGCAGAGTCAGAGGCGCGATGACCGTGTTGTGAGAGGCAGAGGCCACTAGGGGGCAGCTGAGAGAACTGCCTGGCTCCCCCCCTCACTTTCCCACCCCCCTTTCAGGGGCAAAGCACCCTTGAGAGCTTCATCTGGCACCAGAGGGCTTTGCTCGATGCTTCTCCCTTAGGGGGAGAGGGAGAGAGCTATGAAGATTGTCCTGTTGTGGCAGGGGAACCAGGAGGAGCCCAAGAAGAGCCCCACATAGCCTATCCCCCACCAGCTTCCCAGTTGCTTGGAAGGACGGGAAAAAGGTGCCATCCAACTTGGCTCGCTCTTCCACGTTGGGCTGATTAAAACGGATCCTTTGCCCCACTCTGGCCCAGGGGGGATTGCTGCACAGAGAAAGGAACACTCCTCACCCCCAATTCCTGGAGAAGGGATCTGAGCCCTGAGGCAGTGTGCCTGGGAGAGAGGGAGGACCCCTGGATGGAGGAAGGGAAGCAGCAGGAGGGGGGGGCACTGCAGGACTCAGCCTTCCTCGGGGATGGGGGGCACTTACGGCCAGGCTTCTTACCGCGCCAGCAGACGTGTGCCCTGCAAAAAGTGCTGGGGGTTGCTGAGCACCACCCAGCCTTGCTGGAACTCGATGCAGGCATAGACTGCCCAGTCCCCGGCTACAGAGAAGAGACTCTTCACAATCTCCACCGAAGTGCTGCAGACGGGAAACAGTTGTCACTGGCACTGCCCCCCCCTCTCCCTCTCTCTCTCCCTCCCTCCCTCTCTCTCAGGTTAGGGTTAGGGGAAGCCCATAGTTGGGATTGATCTCAGGATGGCCTGAAAAGGCTGGGGAGGGGGCTGCTGAGGAGAGGCTTTCCTTGGCAAATAGAACAGCACAGGGGCCCAGACTTTCCATGGTCCCTTCTGTGAATCTGGCTGGTTGGACTTTTCCTGTGGTCCCAAGGGGGCTCAGGACGGTTCCCTTTTCTTTAATTTTATTTGCCATGGACCCTTTTTGACTCCAGTCTGCTGGTGCCTTTAACAAATGTCCTGAACTGGAAATTGGCTTTCGTGCAGACTCTGGGTGCTGAATTTCCCCTGGTTCTGGAGGAGAGCCAAGGTGCCAGAGGAGGTTTGGTGTGTGCAAATTAATTGCTGTCCATGCATTTCAACCTGTGAGATATTTTTAAAAGGGGATCTGACATCCTGTCCTACCTGGCAGGGCTGCAAGCACAGACATTTTGGCTGGCAGGGTGAAGACCGGCTCTTTTCTTGGCCTTTCTTCAGTGCAGGAGCCAAAGCTGGCCCTGACTTTTATTCCTAGCTGCAGCACTCCCTGAATTGTCTTTTTGGACTAGGATTGGCTAATGACCCTAATGTTAGATGTTTTAGTACTGATGTTATTATTAATTTCCATCCATAGTTTTAGCTTTTTATATTCTGCCAAAGGTGTTTTTCAAAAGCAACTGGGCTTCCTAGGTTTGTTTTCCATGACTAGGCCCAGCAGGGAGGTTTCTGGGGGGCAGGGAGATGGCATGCTGTCCTGAAGGTCAAAGCCCCACCTGCCCTTGTGGATCCTGCTCTGTCCGGGGGAGGGGGGATGAGTTAGGGGTCACCTGGTGCTGATAGGTGTGACTCTCTTCCTTTTGGTACCTCTGGAAGGTGAGTGCTGTGGGGTTTTCCCTCAGAATGAGGTCCTGCCTGGTTTTCAAAGCCTCTGGCAAGTCCAGCTGCATCACGTAAAGGACCTGCTTCAGCAGAGGTATGAAGAGCTGAAGGTGCATCTCGCCCAGGGCTGCCCGATAGCCGGGGATGTGGAAGGTCTCGTAGATGACATTCATGGCCTGGCAGGGAGTACAGGGAGATGCCACCCTCAGAGAAGGAGGCTCCTGGGCAGCGACTCCTTTTTATCCTTGCCCCCCCTCCCCCGAGGGACATGGGGAAGGCCATTACAGCTGGTCCTTGACTTACGACCAGAATTGATGCCAACATTTCTGTTGCTAAGCAAGACAGTTGTTAAGTAAAATTTGCCCCCCATTTTACGCCCTTCCTCACCGCAGTTGTTATTTATTTAGAAGACTTACATGGCTGTCCATTCGCTCTCGGTGACTATGGTTGTTTTAAAAACAATAAAGAACCCAATATAAAAAGAATAAAAACAGCAAGCATTCAAATGAACCACTGGATGGGCTCCATCCTGCTCTGGATTCCCCAGTCCCGTTATTAGAGCCAGGTCTTCAGGGCCTTTTGAAAGTGTCAAAGTGGGAGCCAGTCTAATCTCTGCAGGGGTGATGTTCCACAGGGAGGGAGCCACCACGGAGTGGCCCTTCTTCTAGGTCCCACTAGATCAGCGGTTCTCAACCTGGGGGTCGCGACCCCTTTGGGGGTTGAACGGCCATTTCACAGGGGTCGCCAAAGCCCTCTCTCGCCCCCCCCCCACGCCTTCACTCACCCTCACCCTCTGCCTCTGTTGGATCGCCCGGTCGCCGTTCGCTTACCCCGCCCACTCCCAATCTATTGCTGCCTCCGGAGTCCCAGCTGATGGCTAGAGGGAAAAAAAACTTTAAATTCTTGCCGCTGGGCTTCAAAGAGCTAGCTGCAAAGAGGTAAATTCCTGGAGCAGATTTTTTTCCCCCTAGCTATGCTGAAAAAGCGAAATTGAGACTTCCGGTTTCCCTGTCTTCGGTGACGGCGGTGCCTTTTGAAGCTCCGCCAGCCCCGCCGCCTGTAGAGCCGCTTCGCGACGAAGAAGCGGCTCGAAAACTTCAAAATCCACAGGATTGATGAAGTAGAGATCGCAGGGCACAGGTCGAGCCCCTGTAACCCCCCAGGGAAGTTTCTGGGGAGAGAACAGGCGCGGCTCCCTCCCAACCTGCTGAAACTCCGGGCGACGTGGGACGATTCTGCTTTTGCAGAACAAGCCGGCTGCAGGAAACTCAAAGCGAAAAGAACCAGCCTTAATAAACAGCGAAACTACCTGAATTCTGAAACTTGGAAACGCAAGTATTAGCGCTTTGTTGACTTTTTAATCTGAGAAAAATGCGAATGAGTGAAAGTGCTTTGAAAAAACATGGCGCTCAGCCTTAGAGTTAACGAGCCAGCGAGTGTGGATTGGTGAAGTTATCTTGCTTTGTTACAAAGTTTCCAAGTTGCTACAAAGTTGCCTTGTTTGTAATAAGAGAAACAAGTGGAAAATTTCTCCCTTTTCAATACTTGACTTTGCTTTACTTCAGCTTTTATCTGATCAAATCTGGGGGACTTTTGTAGAAGTCTTTGTGCAGGAGGGAAAGGAAAAGGAACTTCCCTAGAAAAACTAGATCACGTGGCAGGATGGCTTCAAAGAAGCAGGAAGGGAAGGCAACAGGGGGGGGATCCCCCACACACAAACATGAAACGCAGCTTCCCCCTGCTCAACAGCTACAGACTCAGAAAAAAGAATTTGATGTGGGAGATTTAAAAGAATTTATTTCTAAAACTTTGGATGATAAATTTCAAAAATCCCAACAGGAGATAGATGATAAACTTCAAAAATCACATCAGGAATTTATGCAGGAAATTAATGAAGTTAAAGATATGGTGAAACAGAACCAAAACAAGGTGACCCAAAAAATATCAGAAGTGGCATCTGGCCTGGCAGAATTTATTGGGAAAGTTGATTTTAAAGTTGAAGAACTTAAATCAGAAGTTAATGTTAAGATGAAAGACGATTATAAAATTGCTGATGTTGACAATAAAATGCAAAGAGTTGAAAACGAGATTGTCATGATACAATTCAGGGCAATGGAGTTTGCTATACGGCTTCGAGGAATTCGAGAGGAGGAAAGACAGGATTTGAGACAAGTTTGTTCTGAGGCCCTGGCCAAGATTATACAAGTTAATCCTGATGTGGTTTTTCACAAAATAGACAAAATTTACAGAGTGAATTCCTGGGTGGCCAGACAAAGACAATTACCTAGAGATGTGGTCATATATTTTACAGATAGAGAAATAAGAAACGATATCCTGCAAAAATCCTTTTACACTTCTGTGCAAGTGGGGGGCTCACGAATTGGAATTTATAAAGAATTACCTCCTAAAATGCTGAAAGCTAGAAAAGAATTTGGTTTTCTTGTTAAGGAATTGCAAAATTTACAGATACCTTTCCGGTGGGACGCACCAGTTGGTATAATTTTCAGATATAAGGGAGAAAGATATCGTTTGAATACCGTGGAGAAGGCACAGCACTTCTATACTACTATTCTTAAGGAAAGAACACCATCTCCACGTACATCTACAGTTTTGGAGATTAAAGGGAGTGATGAGAAGCAACCGCAACGAGAATTGCAAGAACAGTCTAAGCAGGAATTAGAGGAAATGCAAGGTGCAGAAGGAGGTTTTCTGGATGAGCCTTTGCTGGAATCTTCTCCAATCTTGGACCCGGTTCGGATGATTGAAGTTAAGGATCAACGTATAACTCGAGCTCAATCTAAGTTACTTAAACAAAAGCAACAACAACAACAGGAAAGACAAGACAAGGAGGCAGTTAAGAGTACTGCACAAGAGATTGGAGCCATGGGGGGAGCGAGATCGAAGCTTTCGGATGACCTTCAATTATTTTGCTCTTTGCTCCAGAAAGAGGGAGATGATGTTTAAGTGTTTATCTTGGAATGTTAATGGGTTGAATTCAGCACAGAAAAGGAAGAAATTATTTACATATTTGAAACAATTTAATAATGATATAATTTGTTTACAAGAAACACATATCACAACTCAAGATCAAAAATATTTGATAAACTCCAAACTAGGAACACATTTTATATCTTCAACTTCGCAAAAAAAGAATGGTGTGGTTATTTATGTAAATAAAAAGTTAACAGCTAAAGTTATAGAAGCAGATGAAGATGGTAGGTTTGTAGCAATTGAATTGCTTACAGCAAATGGCCAAATTCTTCTGATTGGAATCTATGCTCCCAATCAACAACAGGACTATTTCTATAAGATGTTACATACTAAAATATTGCAACGGGATTACAGATCTATTTTAATTATGGGAGACTGGAATGGAGTAATCGATTCTAAATTAGATAAAAAGAGTTTGGCAAAGTCTAGGATCAGATTACCACAGACCTTTTTTGACATGAAAGAAGATATGGAATTAAAAGATTTTTGGAGAATACATAATTCAAAAGAATTGGACTACACTTTTTTTTCTGACAGACACAGATCCTTCTCTAGGATTGACTTTATTTTGTTGACAGATGATTTACTTGTTAAGACAAAAAGAACAAAGATTTTCCCAAGAACTTTGACTGACCATAGCCCAGTATGGATAGAAATTGAGATGGATAAGGTTGAGAGACGTTCTTGGAGATTAAATGAGAATTTGTTTAGATATGAAAAAAATACAACAGAACTTAAAAAGCATTTGAAAGAATTTTTTGAAATAAATTTGAATAAAGGTACCCCAATTGAAATTGTGTGGGACGCAAGTAAAGCTTATATGAGAGGGGTACTTATCTACATGAACTCTAAACATAGACTGTTCCGACAAAAGAAAAGATCTGAACTGGAAATAGAAATAAAGAATAAAGAACGGTTACTTATTAAAAATCCAACAGATGAAAGAATACGTAGTGCTATAAAACTTTTGAAAGACCAATTTCAAATGCTTATGGCGGAACAAGTTGCAACTAATTTACAATATGCGAAGCATAACACATTTTGTAACGCTAATAAACCGGGCAGATGGTTGGCTTACACACTGAGGAAAAAACAAAGTATACGGACTATTGATAGTATTGATATTGGAGGGAAAGAAATCTTTCAACAAAAATTAATTAAAGAAGCTTTTGTGGACTATTATACCAAATTATATGCCAAAGAGGAGGTGCAGAATGGACTTATAGAAAAATATTTAAACGATAAAAGAGTTACAAAAATTACTGATCAACAAAAGGAAAGAATGAATTATCCTATAACAGAGGAGGAGATAATAGTAGCAATTAAACAGTTAAAAACAGCCAAAGCTCCTGGCACGGATGGTTTGACCGCAGTGTATTACAAAACTTTGCAAGCTGAAATGGTGGAACAACTTAGAGATTTATTTTGCAATATTCAGCAAGGGGGTAAAATACCCCCATCATGGACAACAGCTTACATATCTTTGATACCAAAAGAACAAATCGGTCCTAAAAAACCAGAGAACTATAGACCAATATCTCTTTTGAATACAGATTATAAAATCTTTGCGAAAGTACTAGCCAACAGGTTGATGCCAGTAATCCAAAAGGTGATTCATGATGATCAAGCGGGATTCATCGAGGGCAGATACATGAAGGACAATGTAAGGCAAGTAATAGATTTATTGGAATATCTTGAGAAGAATAAACAGATTCCTGCAGTGCTGGTCTTTTTGGACGCAGAGAAGGCCTTGGATAGAGTGGATTGGAATTTTCTACTAAAGACTTTAAAAAAGATGGACTTTGGGGATCAATTTATACAGGCGATTTCAGCAATTTATCAAGAGCAAAAGGCACAGATCATTATTAATGGAAGTCTGACAACAGAGTTTAAAATTGAAAAAGGAACAAGACAGGGATGTCCGTTGTCCCCACTTTTATTTATTTTAACACTAGAAGTCTTGCTAAAATACGGGACTCTAATACCTTGAAAGGTATAAAGATTAGGCAAGAGGATTACAGAATAAAGGCATTTGCAGATGATCTGGTTGTTACCCTATCACAACCAATGGAATCAATAATCTTGATGAAGGACATTATACAAGACTATGGTAAAGTTTCAGGTTTTAGACTGAATCCAAAAAAGACTAAAATGATAGCTAAAAACATGACACAAGATCGTAAAC